GCGTCAAGGTGTCGCGCCCCCGCGTGTGTTCATATAGCCCAGGCATCGCTCAAGCGAGAGCCGTTTAACAAACACCTGAGAGAGATAGTGGACATTTCGGATTTATTGATCGACCAACGATACACGTGAGAATTCGACCTCTTCGCGTACGTGCGCGCGCGCGCTTCTATGTATATTCCTCAATTTTTGTTTCGATAACGAAAAATACGTCGACTTTACGTGCGCGGAGGAGCAGCCGAGAGTAAATGCGTGCAGTTTACACACACGTGTGTATTTTTAAAGTTTCGCTGGATTGCTCTCGGTTGTTGACTCGCTGGATTACGGACTGAAGTATCTTGTATAAATAACAGTCTATTCGAAATTTCTTGTTGAATCCTAAGCCAACGAAAATTCGAATCGTCGTAAATTGTTCAACGACTATAGAAGTGCTCGGACAAATAAACATAAAAATATTAACTGGTATTAACGTGTTTTTTTTACTCATGCCAAATATTTTTTACCAAGTTATAGACTATCTCTGGTGCATCTAACTTCATACTATTCGTTTTCTTGATGAGAAATAGCGGCATGTACGTGATTAATTTGATTTTGTGCTCAAATTACGTAGAAACGAATGCGCTATCTCTCAAGCACCTTCATTCACCTATTTTACAGCTCCAATTTAGACTCCATTTTGATCAAATTGAACAATATGAAATTGCTTGTAAGTTCATGGTAAAAAGTAAACTCAAAAGCTGTCGATTACATGCACTATTTTTACTACAATTCATCATGAAGCTTTTATTGATAGTTAAATTGGACTATCGTAAGATCGTACTCAAGCGATAATTCAATGCGAGAATAATTGCACTACTCAAATTGACAAAGTTCATGTGCTGATAAATGACATGCTGAAGTGTGAGTTATGCACCTTAGCCGCAGGAGAGCGTAATATGTCATACCTTCATAGATTCCACATCAAAAGTCGAGCATGTATTATAGAGTATTAAAATGTCTGCATTATATTTTTCTAGTTTATAGTCCGCTGAAACGAGAATATCAAGTGACGAGAATATTTCTATGGATTTTCTATTGCACATAGAAAAAGAAGCGTGATTGAATCATTAAACGAGTATTTTGTTGTCAAATGCAAAGCAAATGATGACTGTGCACTGAAAACTCCCAAAATAGTAAATAAGAAAAAGTAAAACCAGTACAAACAAGACCATCAATCACTATTATTTAACGTATGCCAAAGAAAGAACATCTCTGTTGAGAGTACAGTAGAAAGCGGCGAACCGCGGGGAGCGCGTCAGTCTGGAAAGGCTGGTCAGCGACGACAAGTCGGCGCAAGAATTTTCCAGTCAATCTGGGTGCGCGTGCGCGCCTGCTGGAAGCCATTGTGCGTAATCGAGGTCCTGGGCGGTAGCGCCCAAGTGCAAACATCCTCGGCCGATGATGACGCACACGCTGAATCAGGCGCGTTCGACTGCTGTTGCTGCTGCTGCTGCTGCTGCTGCTGCGCCCCTATTCGCCTAATGTCGTTCACGCGGCCGTAATAATAAGTTTCGTCGGGCCGTCTACTGGCCCAGTGACTGACTCAGCGCGCACTTCTTAGCCTCTCCAAACGTCGCATTGTTCCCTGCTCGGACCGATATAATCTTGTCACGCCTCATCATTACGTCTTCGTTGGTTTATTGTGCGATAATCCCTCCTGCCGCTTGTCCTATACTTATTTCATTTTTTAAATAAAAAATTGAATTATAGAATTATTAAATTATCAAATTATTAACAAACTTAAATCTATCAGTTCCTCTTATCCACAATTTATCACAACTTGTTCTGTTGCTAACAATTCTTTGTCGCTGTTGGTGATTTACTTTAATTTCTCCGACACGTCACTGCCATTCAATTGACAAGCGTTACATCCTTTCTTCATTCGATTTTCATTTTAAAAGTAATATTGCTTGAGTTAAGAACAAAGTTATGAAGTTTTCTTTGCAGCGATATTAATGCATTTGTCTGATAGTGCTTCTAGACTACGGCTCTATCCTCCAATTGGATTACCTTTTAAATAATCATATTAAATATTGAAATGTACCAATGTATAGATCCCATATTTCTTTGTCTGTTCATATTTGATTCGCGTTTTGTTTGTGTTATCCAGATAAGCGTCGTTTGCGTTCGAAATATAATCGGGTTTGTGGATAAACCTCTATAGTCTAGAGGCACTATTCTTCACGAAAAAATACAATTGGATGATAGTGAAGCGTTAGGTCTACAATTTCTCGCTTGTGAAATATGGTTCACATTATACCCGCACATTATATCATTTCCGCAGCCGTCTGATATAATTCTAACTTTGTCGCTCGTCTAACTGACGAGTCGTGTCAACCGAACTACGTGTTTGTCTTGAAATTTCAACCAAATTTGTTGTATTTTTCGAACAGCATCATTATATTGGAATGAAGCATTGATTTGACACGAAAAGTCAATTTTGAAATGTCAACTTTTGGCAATCAATGCAATGTTCGATGGAAGATTTCTATCCACAAGGTAGACTTGATGGGTTTCAATTGCGAATGTTTGTGGGACATCACATTGTACAGTGATGCACAGTTGTCAATTCGTCTTGATAGACTGAAAGAAGACGAGCAATAGGTTAGCGCAAAACAATGGAAAAAGCGAGTTTGAAGTGTAAATATGGATTGTTTGCTCGACCGAAAAATAGGTGAAACGTTGATGCGAGGCAGATCGCGGCTGGATATAAAGCTCGCAAACAGGCAGGCGGGCAGGCGTTGCATGAGTGGCTCGGCACACAGACTGAGACGCACTCAAGGTACAGACGTGTCGGTGTACACACAGTGCTAGAACAAAGTGTTATTACGGATCGTTAGCGCGGCTGCCAAGATGGCGGCCTGCGCGAATCGTGAGTGCTGCATACACGCGCGGCGGCACACAAGCACGATACGCGCGCGCGAGCATGCCCTGCACGAGCTCGAGGGCCGTTATCTCGCTTGCCCGGCAACTCGCCAAGCTTATCAGTCGAGCAAGCAAACAAGCTCCTCTCTTGCTCACTGGTCTCCCGCCGCCACCGCCGCCACCGCCGCCACCGCCACCGCCGTGTCAATCACCAGACGATTTTGTATTTCACGCGGCGCGCTTTTGCCTCACCTGCCGCCCGCCGCGCTGCCGTGAAAACTCCAGGTCGCGAACTGCCTCTGTCATTTCGACTTTTCCCTCCGCTGACGCACCGCGCGCTGCTTGTTTTTTAGCGTCTGCTCTTGCCCGAAGAGCATGCAGAGATATTTTTCATTCTTTTGCTCGCGAATTGCGCGCTCTCGTTTCAATGAACCGTGCGACAAGGTATTATCGCAACAATCCATTTTTATTCTACAAATCGGCTTTTCTCATTGAATTTCAAGCCAGTTCATTCCCGCAACAACTTTTTACTTAAGTCAAATTGATTTCCTTAGATTTCGCAGTGATATGTTTTCAATTAGCCTACTTTTCGCTCTCAGCACCGCTTGCAAACATCGCGTTTCCCATTTCGCTTCTTTTTGCGCTACACGCGTATAACGTTAAAAAATACCAAATTTCTAATAATAATGCATCTGCAAAACATACGAAAATATCGAATAATCTGATTGAATGAGCACGATTATTTTTAAATAACTGTCGTTAAATAAGTTTACGTTGCATCTCTACAGTTTCAACTTTTGCCCTGATTATTGTTATGTTGTAATATCGGATATATTAAAAATATCAAGAAGATATTCTTCAATTTGTTAACACATTAAAATAACATTGTACGTTATTCGATGTAAATTATAAATTTTTTATACGTTGATGTCTTTATATACATCGAAATTGTCATCTATTTTAATACGAAAAGTTATTCTTCTAATTATCGAATCGACTTGTATTTCATTTGTCGTCATTTTATATGCATACTTTTTTAACTCGCGTGCACAATTGGAATATTATGTTCGAATGCGGTCTAATTGGAGCTTAAGGTTGCTATCAGAAAGACTTGGAATTGACATTTCCGATCAGGTGTAACAATTCAAAATTACGCCTCAATCTAATAAGTCTGAAAGTTTATATTCCAGCCCAACCGTTAATTATTTATGTGATTGTTTATCTGTATCTTAGGACTGTCACAGAATTGAGTTTATCGAGAGTCGAATTAATTGTCATTTTTTAGGGCATTTTTTAAATCATTATAATTATTAGTAAAAAATCCCGGTCAATTATGCACTATCGTTGATTAATGTTCTAGGTACAAAAGAACTAAAATGCCATAATTAAAAACAATAATCATGATTTGGATTTGAAATATAAGGCGATCGCGAGACTTGATTATAAAAATATTCGATCGCTGTACTGGTGGATAGCAGGTTGAATAGGCAACGAGAACTCTTGGCAAGTGACTCTGAATAAATCCGAGTGCAGGGTTATTCGACTATAAAATTGCTTGGAGTAATGGAGTGAGCGGAGAGCGTCGAAAGACGAGAAGGTAAAGAGCGAAGCCGGAGAAAAGCAAAATGCATCGGCTCGGAGCGAGGAGCGAGGAGCGAGGAGCGAGCGCGGCGCTGACCAATGAGCGAGAGGGGGACGTTCCGTCCAAGTGGCATAAGGTAGCCGCATCGAGTGGTGCGCGCGTTGCAGCTCCGCGTGCGCGTCGGCGAGCGGGCGGGCTGATCGTCGGGACGAGTCATCGCGGCGTTGGCGCTTCCCTGTTACGCTCTCGCGCGCCCCCCCCACTCTGGCGGCCGTGCGCGCGCGCTTGTCACTTTTTCGCCAGCTCTCGTTTTGCCTGCTCATCACCGGCGCTCGCTGTCCGACCCGTCCCTTCTCGGCGCTCTCTCTCTCTCTCTCTCTCTCTCTCTCTCTCTCTCTCTCGCTCTCGCTCTCGTCGCGTCTCGCGTGTAGGCGCAGTCAAAGTTGCCACCTCCAGTTCGACGAGCGCTTATCTGCTCTTAGCGCCGGCTGTTCTCCGTCAGTTCCAACTCGTGCTCCAGCGTCGGCGCATCGCCTGTACGACTCGGCCCTACGTCGATGACGCCCGTGTGCGACAGCACTGACACCTTTTATATATTCCCTTGCCGTATCTAGTTAATCTCGGGCTCCGATATAGACTCGCCAGATAGCGAGCGTGCAATCTTCCCGCAGCCAGTGCGCGGCCACGAATAGTTTTTGCGATTTTTATCCTGTCCACGGCGTTTTCCGCGCCGTTCGCCACCGTCAGCTTCGACCATCTATCACATCCGGCTAAATGCGGCTCACGCCAATGGAGGTAATTTTATTTCCTTGACTATGTCATTTTCGATTTGGCTATTCGGCTTCTTTTTTTTCAACGACTTGTGCCTTCACTTCCAGCTTCGCCGCCAAACATTCATTGAAGCTTTGCGTCTGTTGTACATATTCGTACAACTTTCAATGATTATACTTTGACGAATCGTTTTATCCTTAAATAAATCTTCATTTGTTTTTCGCAATTGTTACGCTTCAACGACTCCTAATCACTTTTACGCGAACAATTTTTTACGAGCAATTTTCTACCGTTGAGCGCTTTCGATTAGTTGGCTGTATTAAACGTTACGCGTGTATTAAAAACGCGCACAAACAAGCTTCGTTTTCGTCAATATTATTTCGATCAATAAAAGTGCTTATGAATATTGCATATAAATGGAATATCGTTTCTCGTCGCGAAAGAAAGGAATAGTTTGTGGTGGAAAAGGCGCAGAAGCGACGCACGCTCGGGTATCATTTATATGTTGGACAAACGTAGAAATAAGTGAGATCACTTTACATAATTGTCGTCGCGAGTTGTCATAGCAAGCGTTTAGGAATATTCAGTCTGACAATACTGTGCCGAAAAAGAAGGAGTTTTAAGGAGAATAATAGACGGGCGGTATGCGGTGACGGCGGTGCATTAATAAGCTCCACGTGTGTCCCATTCAGAAAACTTGGCCTCATATACATTTGAACATGAGGCAGCTTTCAAAAAAAAAAAAAAACCAGAATCTTTACAACGTGCGTGAGCGCCAGGCCCCCGAAGTCGACCTGTGCAGCGCACACATATACGTGTTATAAGTTTACCTTGGCTGCGCGCGCGTTCAACTCCTCTGTTTTACGAACGACCGGGCGAACTGGCGCTCTCTTGCTCCGTTGCTCTCGCTTCGGACGAAGCAGTTATTGCTGTGTTTACGAGGGCTGTTGTTCACGCGATAAGCGAATAAGATACAGAGAGAGTGCTATCTGCGCTTATCTGGCTCCGATGCGCCAAATCAAGGAGTCGATTACTGGCAGCCGGCGGTCGAGGGTAGCCAAAGGATGTTGCGGCACGCGACAGCACTTTGAAAGGCACGAGCGCGCGGCGGAGCGTCACGCGCGTCTTCGGACACACCTCGTCCGTCTCGAGAAAAATGTGAGAGATCTGTTTGCTCTCTCGCGCTCGTCACTTCCGCTCGGCAATGTCAAGTTTCGACTTCCGCTGCCGCCGCTTTGGTAGACACCTTGCGCACTGCTCGCAATGCATCGCGCTCCACGGAATTTCCGATCACCGTCTATTTGGCCCGTTCTGTCGCCTCGCCTGCCCTCACTGCCCTCTTTGCCGGCACAGTTTCCATTAGTTTGCCCCGTGGCGAATTTCATTGGTAACTCGTGCGAAAACGTTGTCGCGCTATTATTGCGATTTTCGTTTCTTAATGCGCGTGGCGTGAATGCGAAGAGTGCGACGCCTGGCAAAATTTTACCGTCGTGTGACAAAGGCATTACCTACTTTTTGCCATTCGAAAGTTGAGTTTTCGAGACAATGGTTTCGCAACAAAAAGCCGCCAATACCAAATCGGCGGTGTTGCCATAAAACGTCCGGAAAACAGGCGATGACTCCTTCCGATCTTTTGCCTCTTCCACTGATGTCATAAGTGCCACATGTGCGTATGTATCGTACATGTTCCTGTGTCCTAGTTACCTCCTTTTCTGCACTATTCTATTGACAATTATGACAGAGTTCATATGATTCATTTTTTTCGTCGCACAATGTCTACTATTCTCAACTATTTCATCCAGTTTTATTTCCCGACACTTCGGGCAAATGGCTTATCTTGCTTATTGCACATTGTTCCTGCAATTCTCATATTACAATTTAGTCTAATTTTAAATGTTTAATTTCTTAGAATATTTTTGCAGTTAATATTCATCTTGTAGTAACTTTTTAAATTACACGAAAGATTCGATAAAATGACAACAAAAATCTCTCGGATTATCCGTTGATCACGGCACGATTTAAAAAATTGATTTTGCGAAATAGATCGCATGATGGATATTCAGTTAAACTCGAATATCGTTGTCGATCTTGAAATAGTTGTTAACTGTAACACGAATGATGAAAAGTTCGCGAGCAGTTTGTTTGGCCGAGAAACATACTTGAAAAGAACTTTAAAAAAGGTAAGATGTTAGTTTTTCCCGTTCCAGGAGACAATAAAGGGAAACCTGCACAAGCAGGAGGTGAAATTGGAGTGGGAGAGTAATCAGCATCGGCCAGAAGAGAGCTCCCCTCAGCAGGGTCCACGCGGTGGCATGGACGCGTCTCCACAGCCGCAGCATCAACAGCAGCCGCATTCGCAGTCGCAGCATCCAACGCCAGTCGGCAGTCCACGAAGCGTTATCACGAGCCGTCGGCACGTGCGCACAATCACGACCGCGGGACACATCACCGAGACCCTCATCGAGCACGAGATCCCAGGATCACCCGAAGCCAACAACAATAACAACAGCGCCGAGCTGATCGCTCAGCAACAAAGGCTCATCAAGCAGGAGTCCACGCCACCGCCGCCTCCTTACTCCACCGAGGAGCCGACGGCCCAGCAGCATTACCAAATTCACATAACTCAGCAGCATAGTCCCAATGACCAGCAGCACAAGCATCACGTTATATACGCCACTGCTAACGGCCAGGAGATACAGGTCGAGGCGACGGAGCCTACCGAATCGACCATCGCTATGACCGTCGACGAGTCGTCCAGGTTGGTTTTTCCTCCTACTTATTTCAAAAGTAATCGCGAATGTTTCAAAATGAAATGAAGTAGTGCTATTCGTTCCGTGCAACGCGAGAGATTGCAGCTGTTTGTTGGCAAAATACATTCTATTGAATAACAATGGATATGTTCTTTACACCTTATTTACAATTTGTAGGTTGATTTTGGAAAATTTGCGGATACGAGTTAACGTTTTCAAAAACCTTAGTTGATCCATCGAAAATTCATAAAACTAATACAGACATCTACAACCTATATGCTTCGAATTAAATGATCCATTTGCACATTAATGATTAGTGTACCATTATAATAGTTTATTTCAATTGAAATTACTCATGATTTTGTTATGATTTTTATCATAAATGTTTACTAGGCGAGAATGAAGTTCTCGAAACCACCTCCGGTATTGCTGCAATCTTAATTGAACGTACACACGGAGCGTATAAAGCTCGCGACACAATGAATTTCTTAAATTTGTTGCATCTTTTCAAACGAAGCAAATGTTTTTAAAATATGAAATGTGTGAACAATGTAATAAATTTCAGAAACTTTGTGGTAGTGTTGTTTGGAGTAGTTGTAGAGAATATTTGTGCATGAAGATCGGAACTTAAACTTTTTTGGATGGCTAAAATTTATCATGATTTTTCTAATTTTTAATATTGATATTCTTTAAACTCGGCAATTGTCCGTACATGTACTCGAAACTTTCTTAGATTTGCTGTCGAAGATGTTTATAAAAGCGCTAAAACGTTTTCGACGATCGAGCCGTTTTTAGCGATTGTCTGCAACTCATTCGCCAACTGTCAATAACTTAATTTTGACGGTGAACGAGTGGCGTTCCGCTCATTAAACGGGGTACGTTGCTTAGAAGTGTAGCGGGTGATTTTGGTTGTATCGTACTGAGTAGTGTAAGTAGACACGAGTGCCAAAGTAGTTGCATGCGGAGTGTGGAAGAAGGCGTACGCCAAAGCTGCCATACTAATGAGATGTCGTTGAGAAAAGCTGCCTACGTTTCTTTAGATACGAGGCAGCCGTAGGCGAACGGGCGGAGCCGGCCGAACGGCCGACGCTGGTGAGCTACGCGGACGAGGCCGAGTTGAGACGCGAGGGCCACGCGATGAGCGGGCAAGAGCGTCACGTGCAGCTGGCCAGCTCGCAGCAACGATACAGCCCACAGCAGCAGCAACAGCAGCAGCAGCAACGCTACCAGGCCTCGCCCCAATCCACAGTTGAAAGCTACGAACCCACGGCCCAGTCGCTCGTCTCCCAGCAGTGCGCCAACGCCGGCATCCAGCTCGGCTCGCCCGCCGCCCATCAGAACTATTCGCCGCCGCTGGATAGCATCAGGCAGTCGAACAGCGCGGCATCTCACCAACAGCAGCAGCAGCAGCAGCAACAGCAGCAGCAGCAGCAGCAACAGCAGCAGCAGCAGCAGCAGCAGCAACAGCAGCAGCAGCAGCACCTCGTCGCAACCACCTACACGGACGGCAGCGTCAAGTACAGCGCCGAGGTGAGCGTCGCCCCCGAGAACCTCAAGGCCTCGAGCACCTACACCACCCTGGAGACGGTGCCGCTGCTGCCCAGCCAGACCGCGCCCTACAGCCAGTACATCGCCGCCCCCGAGGCCTTCCAGCAGGCGCCCGCCTACAGCTACTCCAAGCACCAGGAAATCTTCATCTACCCCGCGTCCAGCCAGGCCTCCAGGCCGGTCGAGGTGAGCGTTGGCAGACCCGTGCCACATCGACGAGCGATAACGGTGGCGCTCCGCGCTTGCAGATCGAGCACGCGGGCGTGTACATCAAGAGCGACCCGACGCTGGCCTCCTCGTCGCTGATGCGCCCGGCCTCGCTGCAGTACGAGCCGGCGCCGGGCTCGCCCTCGCAGGTCAGCCTGTACCCGGGCGGCACGGTCACCTACCAGTTCGCCGCCAAGCCCGGCCAGGAGCAGTACTGGGCGGGCCCGGCGGGCGGCGCCTCGCCGTCGGCCAGCTTCGACTACGTGCACCAGGCGGCCGCCGGCTACGCGGGCGTGCCCATCTCCGCGGCCGAGGCCGCCGGCGGCATGATCTTCCCCGGCGGCTCGTACGCCGTGGCCAACGGGCCGGGCCCGGCCTGGGCGGCGCTGCCGCTGGGCCCGGCCGAGCCCGCCGACGACCCGGCCGGCGCGGTCGCCGCGGCCGCCGGCTTCGAGGCCGCCCTCGGCGCCGAGACCAAGGAGTGCGTCAACTGCGGCGCCCACAACACGCCGCTCTGGCGCAAGGACGGCACCGGACTCTACCTGTGCAACGCCTGCGGCATCTACTGCAAGACCAACGGCATCAACAGGCCGCTGGCCCAGCGCGTCAAGCCCAAGCCCAGCGCCCCGCCCGTCAGCGTAAGTCCACCTCCTCTGCCGGCGCGGTAGCCGGACCGCGCGCCCCCGCCGCCCCTCTCGAGGAGCTGCAATAACGCGGATGTAAATAAGGCGCGCTCGACGAGGGAACGAAAGCCGGCCGGGGGAATCAGCTTATCGCGTGCGCGCCTCGAGCAAATAATAACTTGCTGACACGCCACGCAGGCGCTGTTTGCTCTACTTTTCTCGCTCGAGCACTCCTCTTTTCTCGTCTTCGTTGATCCTTGGATACATTTATCATTTCAATCTTTTCATCGCCCGCTTTTTCCCTGCCTGCGCGCTTGCCATCCGCTCGAGTAATGTACCGAGGCGGAGTCCCGTTATCCGCCTCGAACCTTGCGAATCGATTGAAACCGGCCCATTTATGTTTTCAACGACCGTCAGATCTGCGCTTATCGTCATTCGCATCTTCTCTCATCCTTTTTTCTCTTTCTCTCTTCGCAGACTGGTGGTAGGAGGATAGGAGTAAGGTGTGCGAACTGTTCGACGACCACCACAACTCTTTGGCGACGAAATAACAATGGTGAACCTGTGTGCAATGCCTGTGGGCTGTACTTCAAACTTCACAACGTAAGTTAAATCCTCTTGCTCCGAGTGTCAACAATTTTTAGTTAGATGTAACAAATGCCTACTTCGATAAGTGTCATCTTCACCCGTCGGTGGAATTCATAAAAGCAATTGTCAGCAAACAGTTAGCGAGAGAAGCATTTCCGAAGACTCTTTTGTTCCGGCTAAAAAGTGTAACGACCAAACGGAAATCGCGTCTTTCTCTTGACGTACTTCTAATGTGCGTTACATACCTTGCGTCAGCCTTTTACCTCCTTGCCGATAACTATAGTCTCTAAGAAAACCTTTCAACTTCCTTCGTGACACATTTTGCGCGATTCTAACGAATTTCTCATCATTCGTGAAAGTGACAAGATTTTTTCATTTTCATTCGCATCGCGCGTGTTTTTTTTCATCACTTTTATTCCAAGCTTATTGATATGTTTTAATTGAGTAACGACTAATCGAGACGAGCTTCCAGGCTTTATCAGTGTAGAAGAATTCCTATAGTTCAATTGACTCTTTGATAAAAAAATATTTGTGTTGACCATCGGTTTCGAAACGTTGTGATTTCATGACCGAACCGTAGAAAAAAAAATGACAGAAATCTTGAAAGCTTGTGGATTAAGAAATGTATGTGTGCACTCGGTCACGTCTATTGTAAGACATAAAAACCGTCTGATTCGTATTTACAGTAGAAACGTTGAATTTGTATCGTAGTTGCGCCATGCTTTTTGAATTAAGAATGAGCTATGCACTCTGACTAAATTATAACTTAACTCTATACTGAAGAATACCGGAAGTGAGAAGAGTTTGGAAGGTGTTTCTCTCATTTTCTGACTGTTTGTCAAAGGTTTTCTTGCACGCATAAAAGAGGAAAGACCTGCGACGAGGCTCACGACGTGTCTCTCGCTTACACACAGGCGCGCGCACGCACATACAAACATGAAACATTCTTGCGAGTGTCGCGTACCAGCGTACACGGACCATATAACTGTCTTGAAATAAGTCGCGGCGGCAGCGGGGTCGTGTTTGCCGCTTTTACTGCATTTGTTTAGCTTCGTCTCGACATTTTTCCTTTTTTTATTGTTCCGCTTGTTGCCCGCTTTCGTGTTTCGCTCTAGAAACTATCTTTTTTTGTATCATTAATTCTTTCACTTGTTTCTATCAACATTTTCTACCGTACCTTTCAACAGCTTAATTTTCAAGTTTTTATCAATTATTTTTTACTTGGTCAGAATATATCATCTCGATTATTATTACATTATTTATATGCGCGTAAATCGTTTTTCTCAAAGACATACTTTTGTTACAGGTGAACAGACCAATGAGTATGAAGAAAGAAGGCATTCAAACACGAAAGAGAAAACCCAAAAACCATGCAAATGTAAATACACAGATAAAACAATTACTTAAATAAATAGACATTTTTTCTAGTGAATATGTCGATTGCTTATGCAATTATATTTATTTAGAATTTAGAAAATTTATTGAAAATAATGTATACTTGATGCCTAAGTGGCTTATTTTTAATGGAATAGTGAGTTAGTTGTATTTAAGAGAACTGTTGACTAAATTCTTTTACATTAATTATACGCTGTATTATAAATGTTCAAGTGTGATCGATCATGTAATTAAATCGTGTAAATAAATGTTATTTAAATTGACAATCGACTTCACCATTATTCTTTAAAAATGTCATCATTCTATATTATCACAGTTTCTTGGAAAAGTGACCCTTAGTTTTATTTTCATGAAATTTTCATTAATTTTATTATAACCTATTGAATATGCAATAATTATTTTATGCTACACAACTGATATTATTCCAATTATGCATACATTCACTTACATTTCAAAAGTATGAAAAATATATCTCAATTACTATCATATCTACCAATGCTTAAATGAAATTGAAAATTGATTAATAAGACACAATCAGTTATATATTTGTGCATACCTTTATCTTTGTGGCAATGCACTTTTAAATCTCTTCTAGCAAAATAAACAGTTAAATTTTGGTATCGAATAACATTTGAATAATGAGAAAAAATAATTGCAATTTTGTTTGCAGTATAATAACCACGGCGTATCCAATGCTATTCATAAGCAAGAAATCAAGTCCAATCTACTTGGTGAGTCTCTGGTGAGCAAGTTATAAATAAATAAAGTTACTTTATGCATGACCGATATTTTTCAATGAAAATGAATTCGGTCTTGATTTACACATATTAAGTTGTTGAATTCTTCGGCCTTTTATTACACGAACAAAGAAGCTATACTCTATAAAATAATAATAGATTTGGTACAAGATTGCTTGCAATACACAGACATGCTATGAAAATCGGATAATTCGAGAACCCAGGCATTAAATACATATACAAAATCTAGATCTCTTATCGAATGAAAAACACCTCTATTGGAATGAAAACAATACCTCTGTTATTCATTTTTCAAATCAAATATTGCACTTGAAGCAAATGTCGCAAAGAGTATATTTAATTATTATTAATGAAATATTTACATATTAGCGTATAAAACAGCTAAAATACACTCACGCGGAACTGTTGCTGATTAAAATACGATATTTTTTACTACTCTAATAGCTCACAATCAATAATCAAATAATTTTTTCTTCTGTTTTTTTTTCTTTCAGTCGTTATTAATAATGGATAGAATCTTAAATGTACAATTCATTCAAATATTTGTTTCTTCCTGCAGAAATATCTCATGTATAAAATATTTTACGGCTGTTATTTTTCATTTGAATTTTCTGTAGAAAGTTTACACATTCAATAGTATCTTGTTTCCTAATAAAAACACAAATACTATTTAATGTACTCTGTTCAATTAAAACTGTATTATGCTAAATAAACAAAGTTTTCAAATTCGTGCGTAGAATCGTTATTTGTAAGACACGAAGCCGGTCATGTCGCTGATGTAAAGCTGAGATCGAAAACTTTTGTTCAATAAAGTATAAGGATAGAAATCAGTATTATCTTTTTTAAAAATAACTCAAGAACATTATATTTTTTAATTCACTAGTAAAAATCTTTTTATTTAATTTTACAGAGGAATTGAAGGTACAGTCAAGCATATGCGTTGACGAAGGTGAAGATAACAGGAAGGATAATATAGGTTTACCCACAAGTTATAAAATATCGCCTATCATGCAAATACCTGTGACATTACCAGCTTACATTGCTTCGCCCTCACCTTTAACTTTACGTTCCGCAGCTATTCTTAATCGTCAGGCTACACTTTTGTAAGTTAATAAAACTTCACTTTTATTTCTATTATCAAAGAAATTTTTTAAGTGTACTAGCAAACTTGAAAAATTATTTTTAATAATCATAGAATCTGTAAAAGAAATATAATGAAAGGTACACAATATAGAATATAGATATTATAAATTTTTCATAAATTTTTGCTAAAAGAATATTTTACAACGATATTTAAAGTTGGAAAGTTAACGCTTATTAAAATAACACTATTATACTTACTTATATATATATATATATATATATATATATATATATATATATATATATATATATATATATATATATATATATATATATATATATATACACAATATTTTATTTAATACATGTTATTCCTTTCCGTAGTATGTATATATGCTATTCAAAGCAAATTTTTTATTAAAACTTTAAAAATAAACCTTTCAAAAGAAAATTGTAGGAAAAGATTCAATTAATATTATGACATTAAATTGATTTTACAGTTTTCTAATATTAAAAATGTAAATAAAAGTTTTAAATTGTAAATCATAAACTTTATGATTTTTGATTTTAGAGTACCGCCTTTGGAACCAGTTCCTAGCCGATCAGATAAAGATTTTACTTCAGTGATAATATCGACAACTACCTCAAAACCAACTAAAAGGGTTTGAAAACATTTCATTGGAATACCTTTATTACCGACTGTGTTATGCATTGCCGAGTCCTGGTAATATCGACATTTTCGAGTGTCTTTGAAAATGTTTGCCACCTACTGGTACAAAATCAAATTATGGTCAATTAGCCTCCGATCAAACGTGTTGAAAATACTGTAATTTTATTGTTAACTTCGCGCAGTAGAAATAATAATAATAGCATATTTTTATTTATCATATCCACAGTACGTATTCTTCATGTTTGATTTGTAACAGTCGTATAAAATAAAAGCGAAATATGGAATTGTAAGATTTTATGTATCATATGTAAGTACTTACTAATATAATTAGAAATATATGAAGCTCGCTTTTTTATTGATTAATTTTAACGAAAAGAAAGTAGTCTTGTATAAATGAAATTCTTTAATATATGAAGTACAAAAGTATTATTTTTGTAGATTACCTAAACAAAAATGTCCATAGGTCAAGACGGCACAATATTGGCTTTATATTATTATACTTTTAATACGCAAACAAATTGAGCATTTCCTATCTTCAATAAATTACTAAAGTATTCTGATTTAAGAAACTTAATTAGGTGGCTTAATCGACATAGGAGAAAAGTACAAAACTATACAATTCATATAGAATATTAATTATTTTTTAGATATCGGCTGATCTTTCAATTAATTCTTAGTATATTAATAACTTTAATAACGTTAATTATATAGAGAATTTTCGTAAATAACAGAATTCCGGAAATGTGGCATAGCATCGTTTACTTGATTGCGTCACTATGAATTTTAATGCTGTTGACCTCATTGAACAATAACCTTTGAAAGTGTAAATAATTTCTTCTCCCGTTTTTCGGCAAACTTCGGAAGTTTTCCTGTAAATCGCTTTTGCATTTTGTTACTGAGTAATATAGGCTAAATTAGAATTATAGAGAAATACCATTTAAAATATATATTATATTTTCTCCTTTAATAAGTAATATGTACCTCTGTATACGATTAATAGTCAAAATAATCCATTGATTTAATTTTATGTATTCTTACTTATTATAAAGTATATATATATGTGTGTGTGTGTAAGATTTGATCAAACGTTCATAAATTAACGGTCATAAAATAAAAAAAGAAATTTCGAAAGTGTATTCAACTATCCATAAAAATGTTTTCTTTTCATACTTTTATTGACTAAATATCATAATGGGTAAATAAAATTTGTATTTTAAAGCATATAATTAATTTAAAATCGTGCAGTATTAATTATAGGTCGATTATTTGGATAGATTCATTATTGATTATATTATGTTTAATAAAATATTGCAAATTTTTACTTGTATTCCAATGAAGTAAATCAGTTATTAAGTTTATATTGTGTTTAAAATTGAAATTGAACATTCATTGTATCATTTTGTGTAGCTATTTCCTAAAGTGATTATTGTATTTAGTAAACTTATACTGTTTATGATGAAATTTTAAAAAGTGATTTCACATCAATATTTGTTAATTATCATAATTCAAAGCTAATTACTTCTATATATATTCCAGTAGCTGATGAATTGTATTGTCATAAGTATGAATGTATATATAAATATTACAAATAAATATTAATAAGCAGCTATGAGATCATCCATTTCCTGTCTTATTTTATCTTTATCCACCCTATCTTATTTGAAATTAAATTTTCTAATAATAGAAAAATATATTTTATATTTTTTAGAGTAATTTGTTCTACTTTGAAAAAAACTACGTTTATTTTATTGATGTATTGGATACCATGCAAAATCAATATATACAATTTTTTCTAATGTTTGTATGATTGTATATGTATGTGTGTGTGTGTGCGTGTGTGTGTGTGTTTGTGTGTGTGTGCGTGTGTGTGTGTAGTCAGACAATCGTTCCAGTGGCTCTATTTGAAGAATTATTTTAATTTTCTTCTAAATATTTGCAAATAAAAATATTATCAGAGAAACTAATCTTTATGATAAGCTATCGAATAGAAAATATTTTACAATCTTTTTATAGAATGAAATTTATAGAATAAAATTTTTTGAAAATTTCGCATTGTATGTGATCAAAGTAGTTGATTGAAAAATATAATTAAATAATCTAGGAGATAATATTTACCATACTCTAAGGACCGTATAACAAGTACTGAATAACAGCTTCATACCCGTATTCTCAAAAAAATAAGAAATTTTTGGGAAATCATTTTGTTGGTAAAGAATTTTTATGTTTATTATTAAACGCGCTTAAAACACATCCATGTTTTGTTTATCTTGTTAACCGTGCTAAGGAATGAATAAACTTTATTAACAAGAAATAAAAAAAACACGCTTTTGAAATTTAGAAGTTCTCCCAAAAAAACAATAAGAGAATATTTTTTTTAACCTTATAGTGTTTTTTCTATCCTTCTCTTCAAAACATCCTAAAAATAAACTACCCCGATTATTTTTTTACTTCAATATTTTTGTAATATTTTTATGTGAGAATTTTTTTACATTATAAAACCAAAGTTTCTTTTTAGTAAAACTAGAGTGAGAGAGAGAGAGAGAGAGAGAGAGAGAGAGAGAGAGACAGACAGACAGACAGACAGACAGAAGGAGAGAGAAAGAGAGAGAGAGAAAAAGAGAGAGGTCAGACAAGTCCGTCAGACCAGAGTCGCTGGGCTATCATGGTCTGCTAAGGGCCATTTCATGTTAGCCGTTCTCTTTTCCATTTCTTTCTCTATTTTCAATTTGGCATAGTGTACGCGCCCGCTCGCACTTGCTTCAACTTTTTTCCCATATGTACGCGAGGTCAATAGTTGCTTTTCAATTATATTTCCATTTTTTGACCTTTCATCCATGTAAATATTGTTATGTAAATCCTTTGTGACGTAATTTCAGTCAACGGTATATTATACCTGTAGTCACATTGTATACCAAATCAGTTAATTTTTGTTGCTACTTCTGCTTATCTTTTATCATCCATTGACCCTTAAGTGTCAAACAAATTAAGTAGTAACGAGAACGCGGAAAAAAATGTTTTGGATAATCTGATGTAGATATAAAAGAAGAAATAAAATCCAATTGCCTCATCCCCTGCTTGTTCATCATCCAAAATTTCCAGATTTAAATAGTTTTATGAATGACTCCACATATTTGTGTATTTTAGTATTATTATGCAAATGAAGTTTGTGCAATTATGAAATATAGTTACACCAGTATAACATTAAAAGTCTTACTTATTATTCCATGGAATTCAATTAAATATTTTTATGCGCTAAAAATGGAAGTAGTATACTACTACGTATATTACTACGTTGCACGTAAAATCAAATGTTAATACCTATTTGAATAAACTGTGAAGCTTAATCAAGCAACGGAATACAAAATAACAAAATATCAGAAAATTCGGCAAGTCTAAAAAGATTATGATTACGTAAAACGAATTTTTTTTTGGAGATTTTTCTGCTCATTCAAATAATCATTTGAAGCTCTAAAAATAAAGAAATACATTTTAAGTACAATGAGAAATGTATGAACTTCGTGAAATAAAATTATAAATTATATCTCGTTTTTTCATACTTCTATTTTACGAAAAATACGTGCCACTCATCCTAATCTTCGTTATTAAATTCATTAGTAATTTGCTACTGTATTGTAACGATATCTGACTTTTAAAATAATTTTCATTCGTGTGTATGATGTAAAGTATATTATCAAAACATTTTCGTAGATGAAATAGGCGATGACAAGCACAATAACTTATACTGATAGTATGTCATATGTGTAACTTAATCTATCCTCGCACATAAATTAGAATTCAGAATTTTCGTTACAATGCTCAAGCTTAGATAATGAAAGCTATTATTAATTATAAATTGGAAAAATTAAAATGACAAATGAACAATAACGCAAGCTCCATCAAGTTTTAAAGTCACAATAAATAAATGTTTTTATTTAAAAATAATATTTGATAAGAGACGGAGAATTATTTAGAATTAAGAATAAAGTATTTTTTTATACGTGTTATAACATATTTTGTTCATTTCTGCACTACGTTCCGTAATTTGTAGGTAAATCATTGAAGAGAAACTGCTATTAATTTTTTCTATTCACTGTACGTCTATATATGTGTATTATGGTGCCATAATTTACTTAATTATATAATTTTGACTTATTTGTTTAGTATATTCATAAATATTCACAAGTACAAAAAGTAAAGGCCAAAGCGAAAATCCAATATTTGTATATAGTAAATTTTAACCGATAATACTTGTTTTCCCATAATATGGCAATAATGAAATTAATTGCAACAAAAGTTTGATCACACTTTCTCTTTAGCTTTTCTGGTGATCCATTTCTTCCATTCTTTTAATTCAATTTTGGTTTAGAATCAAATGGATGTTGTATTTAATGTTCCCTTATTTAACAACAGTTGACAAAAGAACTAATACAGACAAAGAGTATATCAGAGTACATAAAAAAATACATTATCCTAATAAATATATAATCATGTTCTACATCCAAAAGTTTTCGATTTATATATTTCAGTGGTAAATTTAACTTATGAAAAGTTGATACATAGTTATAACAGTCTCGAAAACTAATTAAGAAGAGAAATATGTATTCGGTCAGTGTTTTACAAAAATAAGAAGTTATATTTTTGAATTATGTTAGACTTTTATCACTACATTAATAATTAGATTTCCAACTATGAATAATCGCTATCTACTAATAACGATTGGAAAAGAGATATAGGGACTAGAATAAAAAAAGAAAAAAATGTTTTTGATTTCTGTACACTTCACTATAAGAAATGAACGTTTAGTAAGAACTTATTAAAATGTTGAACCAGCAAAATTTGAAGCATTTTTACAAATATTTTTAATGTGATAATTTGTGAATTATAAATAAACCGATTTCAAATGTATTATAGTAACACTTTAATAGCGTTCCTAAAACGAAGTACATATATTGAAGAAGGCTTAGTACATTTCATCAACCGTAAGCCTACTAAAACTATCTCATAATTTTTCGATGTTATTTGAATGATCAAAGCTTCATTGATTTTGGTCAAATAATGGATGTTAATCAACGTTTTATCTACCAATGAATATCAATGGTCTTCATGTTTTTTTTTTAATTGTATCATTTGTTTATGCGTTTATAGTATTAAAACTGCATAATTGGAAAAAGGTTTGATTAAGCCAATAAGTAGCAAAAAAACAACAGAAGGACGAGAAAAGTACTTCTTCAATACTATTAATGCAAACATTTAATTGAGATTGATTGTTTCATTAATATAAATTTTCTTTGATGTAAAAGATTTGACGGAAATAATTTTCTTGCATTTTCAACTAGGTATTTTTGTGTCTTGAATTTGGAGGTAGCTTATATTGCTAGAATTATTGGAAAGAAGCAAAAATTGGACAATAGAATTTCAATTGAGTTTGCCTGTTCAACCTAATCATGGATACTTTTTAGATATATTCCGGTGTTGCTTTTGTTCTTTGATATATATGTCTGACATTTTATACAGAAGTTGCAAGTTGTACGCACTTTGCAAATTTAGGAAGAAGTTTCTGCTCGAGTAAACACGATTGTGACTTGACTAATTACAGATCGACTTAATGTTTTATTAATATTTCTGATAGTTATAAATATTATATACGTACAAGTGATTTCATATTAGTGGATGATCTTATGTATTGAATATGGAAAAACATTCAGCGATCGCTTTTCAAATAAATCCCTTCCAAAATATATTAAAATTAGATAAGTTAAGTTAGGTTATTTCTAAAATATTGTTAAGTATACGTAAACTTTTTAAAAATTACATGCTTTACTGTCGCAATTGCCTTATATCGTATATTAGAATGTTCTTTTCACGTGGAAGTTCATTTTGTATTGAAATGAAGTGCATTGATTAAATCTCATTCAAATTTTAAATTAAAACGACTGACCACTGTTTTACGTTTAGAACGTCACGGAAGAGAGGCAAATAGAGTTCCTACTTAGCGGTTCGTGCGATGATCTTTTTCGTGTATTGAGAGTTGACTTTGATACCATGCGAAGTGCAATACTCTTGTTTGTTAGAAAATGAAGCAATAATATCGACTGCGTTTTATAATAACACAAATACATAAGATTGCAAAAATGTGAAAGATGCATTTTTTAACTTAGTTAAAATAATTTTACAGTTTCTTTTAAAGAAAGTATTTGAGAAATGTTAATTGTTCAATGTGACATTGTAGAAAGCGTTAATAAAATTGAGCACTATTCATTTGTAAGACAAAGCTGAATTGTTCTACTAGCACCTTAACGTTTACTTTAGAATGAAGAAATATTAAATATTCGTGTGTGTCGTGCTGTACTTTTTATCGATAAAGCTTATGCGAACCGGCACTTGATATCAATTCGATTTTACATATTTCGAACAGAAAATGTCAAGTTTATACTTTGAAATTCGCATGCAAGTTGGTGAATTACGTGTGTGAAAAATAGCCATTGTATATTTACGTATATATTTGATGTACTGTTGCGTCTGTATATAGATATTCATTTTAAATTAGTTTTCTACGTAAGAATTTTTAAAGATGTATTATTTGAAAAGATGAATATGCGACTGATGTTCGATAATATCAATAAGACATTATCACAGTAGATGAAAGACTTTGGTTTTATGTATAGATAAAATGAAGAGATTTTTCGGTGCAAGTTCATGAACCGACACTGGATATGGGTCTCGTGACCGACATGTATACCTGAAGACTTGCACAGCACTTAACGAATGCGTCAATCATTTTACATACAATGAAAAAAAGACTACATTTCTCAAAATTGAAAACTGACCCATAGCATACAAGTTGATATAGTTTATTTCTTAGTTTGTAAAAAATTCATAGAAATATAAAATATTGAGCAAGCTGTATTTCAGTTATGGTATAAATTTCAGAATTTGGAAAGTATTTTGAACTAAATTTGTTATTATACAAGCAAATATATGTAGACTTTCTACTATGTTTTAAATAAAAGAGTTACATAGCACAGGATCTAAGAAATATTTCTTATTATAAACTTTGGAAAACATTTTTAATAATAGTTACATTAAGGCAATGAAATTAAAAATGGTATTCGCAATGTAAAAAAATTTAGCATTGCTCAATGTTTCATATTTTTACATTATTATGTAAATATATTTTATGTTTACGTAAGTGCATGAATGGCAATACCAATAGTACAAGTGAAGCAATTCAGCTGCATTATTCTACATTTATATAACATCATCAGAAGAAAATGTTTTTATAAGGTCTATTCTTTTAAATGAAAACGACCTGCAGTCAATTTTCGGCTACAATGCCAGAAAAATGCCTTCCAGTTGCTTAATTTCATTCGTTTCTGATTCGTGTCATTGTCCCCCTACTACGTATCAGAATTCTTATAGCGACTTCTGTGAAGACCTTTGCACGTTTTCCGTCAGTCAAGTTCCTGGCTGCGTGGCGAAACTATCAAAACGCAGCTTGTAAGATATTGCTTAAGAACATTAACAATTGTGAGTGTCAAAAATGGTCGGATTCAATATAGAGAGTGCAGGGAACAAGGTTGTTATATCAGGAATTGCAGGAAGATTCCCAAATTCGAATAATATTACGGAATTACAAAACAATTTGTTGAATAAAGTTGACTGTACCACAACTGAACATAAGCGATGGGCCATTGGTAAATACAATTTTAGATCATTTGTTTTCTCTTGATTTAAGACGGTTTTGTCATGGATTTCTGAAGAAATTTCAAAATATGTAATGGTGCTGGTTTTGACGATGTCGTCTCGAAATTCGTTACGAGTACTGCATTAACATTAAAGTAATTCATTGAGGAATCGTATTATTAAATTATTGTTTTTTTAACAATATTGACAGTTTTTAAATGGTCTGATCTTATTAATTTCAAAAAAAGTTTTAAGTTATCGGAATGTTAGCTTTTTTAGTTAATGAATTTAGAAGAAATAAGAAATATTTGATGAGCTATAAATATGTTATATAAAATTTGAAAACCAAGAAAAAGCAAGATTACAAATATAATTTTAACTATTATTATGATATCACAGTGTAATTTTGCAAAATATATTGATGTATTGTTTTGAATATACAAATAAATAAAAAGCATGTACATAGAAATCTATAGTTTTAAAAAGGTTTTAGTTTAAATAGCTTTGGGTAATATCGACAAAACAGCAGATCGATGTCCTGTTGTAACAATGTATAATAAATTATTCATTGGATTAGAAATGTGCGAAAATGAACGTATTGCCATTATGAATGTCGATTTCGAAAGTTTGCAAGCTACATAATCAACTATTGATATCAAAAAGTAGTGATTTAATTTGCATGGTTAATATTTAAAGTGATGAATTTAGAAAAAAACTTTTTTATATTTACTTAGGAAAATAAAATAATTGAAATAATGCAATTGATAGCTACTTTCCAAATATCACACTTGAATTTCGTGACACATGTTCAAAGTTACTACAATAACTTTCGTGTGGTGACGTATTTACATGCAGATATTTGAACTATGCAATATTACTATGCGTGACATAGGTTCTTTTGAATAATACATCCGGTCCGATAGCCTATAGCTCTTTTGCAATTGAAAATTAAGTGAAACAGACGAAATCGGCGTCTTTTTTACCTTATAGTGAACCAAATGACCACGGCACTGAAGCAAAATACGTTACATCCATTATGCATTTATATCCTGGAAAATAGCCTCTAACGAAAAATCTTTAATTGATATGCTAAAAACTTCCACATTAGGTTAAAAATATTTGTCTATAAACGTTTGTATATCGACATTAGAAATATTTACTTCGATCAAATATCATTTTTCAATCAAATGCTTATATTTTTATAAAGATCGGATGATATTATTTTACATTGTCGCAAAATAATTTTTTTTCTTGGATTAAAATAGTATATTTTTAATTATCCCTATATACGAAATCGTATTATAGCTTTATTTATGTAATGTATTTTAATAATTAAGCATTATTATACAACGCTTTATTACAACACGTTTCAAAAATAATGTACGCTAAGAAATTATACACTATGCCAAATTGATCCATACTAATTTTCTGAAGTTATAGACGTTTTCAATTGTATACTATAATTGAGTAGTTAATTATTTCAGTGAAATAATAATAAGGCTTATAAATTAAACTTCTTTTTACACAATGTGCTACAATTACATAATAATTTTAAAAATGTTGTACTTTATCGAAACATTAACCTGTTAATTTGACTGAATGAGAATTAGTTTCAAATAATCGACTTGACCGAACAAGTCACAACAAAATAAAGACGATCGAATTATATGTTTATTTCACGTTACTATACATAATCGAAGTGAAACTAAGGAGGCAAACTCTCAACCGCTTGATAAAAATATTTCATAATTAGTCTTGTATTTTAATAATGGTTTTTGAAAACATTATTATTCCATTTATTTTTATATTATCCTGCAATGCTTTCAATAAATGATCCAACATATTTTTAAGAAAAAACAATCGATTATTTTTGTTACATTCTATAAATTGAAATCTAATTGTCTGTTTAGGTTTTATTGTATAATAATTTACATTATAGCACAACAATAAATATAAATACTGAATTGTAAAAAAATATAACAAAAATTTTAAGATGAAATTGGAAAAATCACATTATTCCGTTGAATGAAAACATCTTTTCAATAAAATTAAGTCTTGCAAGAATGTTTTATCTTATTATGTTATTACAGATGATCCCAGAATTCCTAATCGCTTGGGAGTATGTAATGATATTGAAAAATTTGATCGTATATTTTTCGGTATTCACACGGCTTTAACGGATATTATGGACCCTGTATCAAGAATGTTACTGGAACATAGTTTTGAAGCTATTATGGACGCTGGTATCAATCCTCGTAGTTTGAGAGGTGAAAAAATTGCAGTATACTCTGCTACAAACTTATCAGAATCAGAGAAGCGAGCTTATGATCCAAAGGCAAAGGTAAAAATTTCCGTGAATAACAAATAAAAATTGTTTTAATTTAGTTTTCATTGTTTTTTTGTACCAAATATAGCCAAAACGTAATTAATTATATTTTTATCAGTGAATGGAAGATTTAATAAGTACCAGTATAACTTTGCGTTAAAATCAGGCTTCTTTAATCTCAATATCATTCGGTAATATTGTGCTTAGATCTCAACATCGCGTTATGTACTATAATGATAGTAATTTTTATTATAAGATTTATTTTTCAAATAATTGACTGAACGTTTATCAATATTTAAGCTGTCATGTGACATCTTTTAATGTATCAAAGGCAATATTACTTATATTTTTCAGAAAAGTGGCTTTGGTATAATGGGAGGAAGCAAAGCCATGATTGCAAATCGTATATCATTTTTTCTTGGTTTGACTGGACCAAGTATAAACATAGATTGTGATACTACTAGCTCTGCTGTCGCTCTTGAAAGAGCATACACGGGGATAAAAAATGGAGAATTTAATGGCGCTATAGTAGCAGGTGGTGTGATGGGTCTACATCCTCATGTATCTTTTCAATTACGTGCTATTGGTATGTATTATAAAAGTTTGATATTTTTTATGCAACGCAAGCAGAGCGATCCTTAATTTTATCACAATAGTTTTATTTGCAATTTTGAAAAAATTATTGTCATTTACATTACGTTAATAAAGTATTATGGTCATCGTTATTTCAGTACAATATCGAAATGAGGCTTGATTTGATTATTACAGCTTTAAATTTACCTTCATTATAATTAGTTTCATCAAGCGCGCTTTTTTCTTCTTTATATAATTATATGCTTGATTCACATCAAAACTGTTATAAGGAATATACTATACACATAAAATAATTCTATGATTGGAAAAGCTCTACATTTGTCGATATGAATGAGTAAATAATTATTCAATTACGTTGATATTCAAATTCAATAACTATTTCAAATTGAATAATGTAGTAGCTTCCAAGATGTTTAGCTATAGATAATGGGTAGCATACCAAGTTCGATTCTGGCTTTTTTTCTAAATAAATCGAACCGTCAACTGCGCTTGATAATTTAATTTTTTTTTATTTTTAATAATATATTTGTCTATATGATCTTAAAATTTTGTAAAATATCTATATATTAATAGATATATTATTTTAACAAGATATTTTTTCAAGATAATTTTCAAAATTTCCATTTTCAACAATCAATGTATCTATCACTTTTCAACTGAATTAGGATTACTTTATCATATTATTTTGAGGTTTAATCGTTAAATGAACGCGGGCTTTGTTCTTTTATTAAAGTCTACAAAATATTTCATTTTTTATTGATTTACTTGATCGATAATATATCAATGTAAGACGTCTAAGACATTTTAATTTTAATTAACACCGATTTGCTGAATACAACAGTTACTATGCTAATATTATAATATATACCTAAGAAACGTACATACATATATTACATGCTATCACATATAGTATTCCACGTGACTACATTCAGCCAATCAGATCATGAAAAAAACGGTTTCACTTACCAGTCCATCAATCTTTTAAGAGGAGATTATTAAAAATTCAATGATTATCAATTCATTTTCCAATAAAAGGTCGATTGTCTCTGGATGGAGTTACTAGAAGTTTTGACGATGATGCCGATGGCCACACTCGTAGTGATGGCATCACTGTGTTATTCCTTCAACGAGCTCAAGATGCAAAACGTATCTACATAGAAGTTCTTAATATTCGTGCTGCTCATACAGCACCATTTTGTTACACCAATATGACTGATATCATACCAACGCGTGCACCACAAGTAAAGTTAATGCAAGAGCTATTGAAAGAATCTGGATTATCGCCAGATGACATTTCATTTTTAGAAGCTAGTGGTATGGGTTTCAAAGATATCGATGCAGATGAACTTGAAGCTATAGCCGAGGTATATAGCAAAAGAAAAAAGCCATTACTTGTTGGAGCCATCCAATCTAATTTAGGAAATACCATTCCAATCAATAGCGCAATAGGGATAATAAAGGTAAATTTCTTTAACAAATTCAAATTTTTTTTTGTAAAATGCATAACTAGAGAGAAAGGTTAAAGTGAAAGATTATCTTAGGATATATCCGAGATATTTAGGTACTCTGAGTTATTTTTGTTAATGTAATTTTTAATTAATTCAACGATTTTACTACAAAATCACACGAAATTTTTTTGTATGTTTCCTTTTAATTTTGTAATCTAATAAAAAAAAAGCAGCAGATATTTTCGATTTTCAAATTGATAAATATTTCTAAAACTATGAGTTTATGACATAAGCTATAGTGAGAGGTTGTTTTTTACATGTGCTTTAAGGATATTTTATAAATAGAGAACAGTAGATTTTTCTAGAAAAACAATTCGGAGGCTTTGGAACGTGGCGATTCAGATAAAATATTTTCTAAATTTAAAAAAATTTTATATATTTGAATCAAGTTATTATGTTATATGGAAGTTCCACTTTTCACGTAACCAAAATGATCGCTATGGGGTTATAAACAAAACCGATTAAGCGACTACAGAAAAAAATTTATTGTTTCCTTCGATTTTATTTATTTACGCGATTCGAAGTGAGATTTAATTGATGTTATTTTCTCTCTATAGATAACATACTACGTTCAAGAACGTACTCCGTAAAAGTATAGTATAGTATTTTTATTGCTGGTGTATAGTATATTAATCTTATTCAGGATGCTCACTATCCCTCCCCGATTTGGCCAATTTTTCAAAAATGAATACATAGTTACAAATTGCTCTTTTAGGACTCCCTTTTAATATTTCAATCAATTTATTGTTTTTTTTCCCTTCCCCCACCAGTAATTTCCTGTTCCTTAAGCTCCCTTACCCATTTACCCCCTATTTCCTCTTTTGCACTCCTACATTCTAGCATATGTTCCAAACTCTCTTCTATCCTTTCTCAGAATCTGCACTCACTTTCTTTAAACCCTTTCACCCGTTCCCTGCCTATGTTCCCACATCTTATTCTCGCCCATTGTTCTTTTATCCATCCCGGAGTCATCCTGTCCCTCCAATAAGCCTCTTCCCCCCACCGTCTCTTTCAGTTTTTTATAAAGTTCGTTATATGTTGACCCGTCTATTTTGCCCCACAAACTTTGTAGTTCTTGTTCTGCTTTTCTTTCTAACCCACTCTCTAATTTGCCCTTTATTTTTTCTACTTCTTTTTTGTCCCATATCATTTTTAAGATTTCCCCATCCCCTACCCCTTCCAATAGTATTAGCACCCTCATTCCCCATTTCGTCGGGTTCTTATTTAATATGTTCCTTACTTCTGCCCTCAAACAAATTTTTAGCCATCTTCCTTCTTCCATTTTTTCTATCTCAACTAAATACTCCATTGCCCTCTTAGCTGTCTGCAACTCCATCGACGCCCTACCTGCTTCCATAGCAACTATATAATTTGGTGTATTAATATTTAATCCCATGGCCATTTTTATAAACTTCCTTTGTACCTTCTCTAGATTTTCCCATTTCTGCCACCCCCAAATCTCTACCCCATATAAACATCCCGCTTTTATTATACTGTCCATTAGATATAGCCTTTTCCTTAGGTTTTCAATTTTTGCCCTTTTTAAAATACCCCACACCGCATTAATTGCCCTACTTGCTTTCTCTGTTATTTTATTTATATGTGTATTCACATTTTTTTGAGTAAACCAGTACCCCAAGTATTTGAATTCCCTAACTACCTCCACCTTTCTGCCTTTGTATGAAAAGATTTTCTCTTTACCTATTTTTCCTTCACAACAAATCATTATCTTAGTTTTCTCTGTATTAACTTCCATTCCTATTCCCTCACCGTAAATCTCTGTTTCTTTTAACATTTCCCTCATTCCTTCCTCATTATCCACCACAATTACAATGTCGTCCGCGAACTTTAAACAATAGAATTTTTTCCCTTCCACTACCGCTCCTTCTATTTCTTTCTTTTCCCAAATGTCATCCATATCATCCATGAACAAACAAAATAGGTTAAGACTTAATGGGCACCCCTGCCTTACTCCCTTATGTGTCTCGAAACTCTTTGATAGCCCCTCACTAGTTATTACTTCATTCCTTGTTGATTTGTAAATTGTTTTTATTATCTGCGGCATTTTCCCTCTTATCCCCTTCTTTTGTAGTTTTTCGAACATTTTATCCCTGTCTATTCTGTCAAACGCGTTTTTGAAATCAATGAATCCTAAATATAATTTCCCTCCTTTCCTTTTTAGTTTATTGCCTACAATTGAGTTCAATACAAAAATGTGCTCCCTCGTCCCTCTTTTTCCTCTAAATCCTGCTTGACTTTCCCTAAATACCTTATTGCTCTCTGCCCAATCACTGATTCTTCCGGTCATTATTTTCGCCATTAGTTTATAGCTCACGTTTAGTAGTGATACCCCCTATAATTTCTAACCTCCTCCTTCTTGCCGCTTTTGAATATTGGGTAAATTCTTGCTATTTCCCATCCCTCTAAAATCTTGCTCCTGTCCCATAATTCATAGAAAATTTCTACTATTGTATGTATCCAGCTATCCGGTAGTCCCTTTATAAATTCAATGGGGAGTCCGTCATGACCCGCTGCTTTTCCGTTTTTCATTTGTTTCAAGGCATCTCTAAATTCTTTCTCACTTATCCTCCTATTTAACATGTCCTCCTCCTACCCCTCTTCTATCCCCTCATTCACTTCTCCCTCCTGGTTCGCGCTTCCTCTCTCATTCTTGCTTTCCCTCCCGTTCATGCTTCCCTCCTTGTTCGGGTTCCTCCTCCCTTCCCCTGTTGCTCCTAGTAAATTCTTGAAGTGTTCGGCCCATTCCTCTTTTTTATTTGATTCCCCCTTTCTGTTTCTCCGTAAAAGTATATGAAAAAAAGTGATACACAGCTACTTTGTAATATTTCGGTCATAAGACAAATAAAAGGACTTGTATTTCTTTCAGATGATCATTGCATCAGAAACTGGACAAATTGCGCCTAATTTAAATTATGACATTCCCAATTCTAAAGCACCGTGTTTGGAAAACGGTAAAGTTGAAATTCTAACAGAAATGACACCTTGGACTGGACAATATTCTTCTGTACACACTATTAGTATTACTGGATCAATCGCAAATATATTATTAAAAACTCATAATATCGAAAAGAAAAATGATGGAATACCCGATGATGATTTACCAAGATTGGTTGTAGTTTCTGGTCGTACTGAAGAAGCAGTTGATACCCTTCTGAGTTATGTTAGTTGATCAACAGTTAGTTTAAAGTTGTAGGAATTCTTGAAACTACAATGAATAAAATGAATGTTGTATTTTAGATGGAGGATAGACCTGTTGATGCTGAATTATTACAAATGTTTTACGATATTTTTGAATCTGGAATAGATGGACATTTGTACCGCGGATATTCATTGGTACCTGCTAAAGGGTTGTTATCATCCGATGCAAAAAAACGGGAAACATTTTTCAACTCAGGAGAAACACGAGAAATTTGGTGGGTCTTTTCAGGAATGGGTTCACAATGGGTTGGCATGGGTAAGTTTTTTATTTTTATTTTACTGCACGTTGGAAATTATCATTTCTATATTATTGTCATAGACATGATTGTAATATACATCAAAAATATATTTTTGTATATTGAAATAGAATGGATACTGAAAGTACATTCGTGCGTTTACGAAAAATTAATAACTTTTATTTGAAAGGGTATATTTTCTGGTTTGACTTATTTGAAAGTAGATTTTAAATCTTAGTAAAAGTGTATTAAAAATTATCGACAATTATTCGCTTTTATGTAACTTAATAATTCCAACGTGTATTGAAAATATATTTAAAAAATTTTTTTCTTTATTGTTGATAGGTGAAGCATTATTGAGAATACCCGTGTTTAACGCTGCTATAAAGAGATGCGACGCAGTTTTGAAACCTCGAGGATACGATATTTATAAAATTATTTGTGACAAAGATCCAAAAATGTTTGATAATATAGTTCATTCATTTATAGGTATAGCTGCCATACAGGTAATCATTTCTTAATATTTTTATGATCCATTGAAAATAAAAATAACTGTGAATAAACCAGAAAAAATTGTAACGAACAAGTAGACTAAAAATGTTCATTAACGTACATTGTTTTTAAAAAATTTTAAAATATTGCAGATTGCCTTGGTGGATGTACTTAGATCGCTTGGAATGAAACCCAATTTTATTATTGGGCATTCTGTTGGAGAGCTCGGATGCGCTTATGCAGATGATTGTTTCACTGCTGAGCAAATGGTTTTAGCAGCTCTGTCCCGTGGATTGGCATCAAAAGAAGTAGATTTGATTCATGGTGCCATGGCAGCGGTGGGTCTAGGATATGATGATGTGAAACCACTTTGTCCGCCAGATATTGACGTAGCCTGTCACAACGGTCCAGACAGTTCAACGATCAGTGGACCTGCAGAGTCCTTGAGAGCGTTCGTTGCTAGTTTGACGGTATTCACAAAATTAAGAATTGTTATTCCACTACACAATAATCTCGTAAGATTATCCTATCAATAAATTTATTTATGTTTAAGGCTAAAAAGATTTTTGCAAAAGAAGTAGCTAGTAGTAACATTGCTTATCACAGTCGTTACATTGCACCAGCAGGCCCGAAACTATTGGAATACTTGCAGAAGGTTATTCCAAAGCCAAATCCACGTAGTGAGAAATGGTTAAGTACCTCAGTTCCACGAAGTGAATGGAATACTTTAAAAGCACGTCTTTGTTCGGCTGAGTATCACACTAATAATCTTTTGAGTCCTGTTTTATTTGAAGAAACATCACGTATGATACCACAAAATGCCATTTGTATAGAAATTGCCCCACATGGCTTGCTACAAGCTATCCTTAAAAAATCTTTATCGCCCAACTGCATTAATGTGCCATTAACAAAACGAGGTCATCCTGACAATGTTGAATTCATGTTGACTGGACTTGGAAAATTGTATAACATTGGATTGAATCCTAAAATATCAAATTTGTATCCAAAAGTCAAATATCCAGTTGGAAAAGGAACACCTTCGATATCTTCTCTGGTCAAATGGGATCATAATACTGATTGGTAAGTGAACGAGTTGACTATTCCATACAATGGAAAATTAGACGTGGATTTATTTATAAACTGCATTTCTTAATATGATTTCATTAGGTACGTCACTTATTTTGTTCCAATTGAAAAAACAGTAGAAGGAGAAGTGACATTTGAGATGAATCTTCACGCAACTGAAAATGAATACTTGAAGGGATGTAGAATCAATGGTGAAATTAGTATCCCTATTTCACTATGCTTGGTTAAAGCGTGGGAAATTTTGAAAACGTATAATGAGATCCCAGTGGACAATGTTGTGTTTGAAGACATCCATATCCATACATTACGAGTTACAGTTCCAGAAGACAATATTGTAAAGCTGACAATCATGGTTACTAAAGGTTTGTCAATTTAAAAATATAATTCTAGTTTTATATCAGTAGTCGAGTATTCTATCAGTATATTGTAACACGTTAAATAAATTTCATTATAATAGATATATTTTAAATAATTTATTTCTAGGAAATAAGAAGTTTGAAATTGTTGAGTCTGATAGACTCGTAGCTAACGGTACAATAAAAGCTATGGAACCAGCTAATGTTGAACGTTTAGATGCAAGCAAATTATATTCCCAGCAACAAGTCAAATACGACATTGAAAACGAAGACTTTTATACAGAACTGGAAATGCGCGGTTTTCAATACCTAGGAAATTTCAAAAATGTACTGAAGTCATCGATTAGTGGTAACAATGGCTTACTAAAATGGGATAATAACTGGGTAACATTTATAGACAGTGCAATTCAATTGTATGCATTTGGAAATGACGTTCGTCAAGCTCAAGTTCCATTTATTATTAGGAAAGTTATTATTGATCACCAGAAACATGAAGAGGCTGTTCACAATTCAGGTATCAAAAGATTGCAATGACATTCGTATTACCGCAATAAAATTTTTAAATAAATTTTATTAATAATAATTAATTGTAATAATATTTTGTTATTTATTTTTAGAAATAACTGCTCATATTGATAAAAATTTGAATTGTATAACTGCTGGAGGTTTGGAAATACAAGGTTTGAGATTATCGACGTTACCAAAAAATTTAGAACAAAATAAATTGAGTAGTGACATATTAACTATCGTGCCAAACATAGACAAATCAAATACTTCGATTTCAGAGAGCTTGCGAAACATATTGCAACTAGTTTTAGAAAATAGCTTTTCAAATAACATTCAAGTTGTTCAGATTATTGAAAATGAAGGATCGGAGGCATCAAACGCCTATAAATCTCTGCTGTACAATGTACCTGAAATTTGTCTTTTCAAACAAGAACGCACTGTTTGCGAAGAAACCACATTTAATAAAGCTCTTACAATACTGGTAGAAGATTTGAAGGAGTACGATGTATCTCTTATTTTCGAAAAACTGAGTATCAATAAATTTTTATTAACTAATATCAGGAATGAACAGGAAGATGCTTTCTTTAAAATAGCAGAATCATCAAATGTGAAGGTAGTTTTTGTATGCAAATTTATTAATAATAACAACCTAGTTTTATTCAGAAAAAAGCGATTGTTTGCCAACACTCAAGTCATTAATGTGAATGGAAACGTCAAAGATACTATAAATAAAATTAAAGCCATAGGAGTTCCAGCGGACGATGAACGAATTGTTATCGTTACGAAGCCCAAGGATAAACAGAATATTGTCGATCTTGTAAAACAGTTAGAGCAATCAACAAAGTTGGACAAAATTAGAATATTTGACGTCCAAGACGCAAATACATTGGATAATTTATTTTCTGACCAATTTTACAAAAGACAATTAGAAATCGATTTGTTGATAAATGTACTAACACCAAAAAAGGTATGGGCTACTCTAAGACGGACCACAGCTGCTAATAACATTCAACCTTGCAAAACTTGGACCGCTAATCAATTACATCAATATGACCCAACAAATGTGTTTTGGACGGAAGGACCCGTCGTTGAGCAAACTGAAAATATTGTCAAAGTCGAATATTCAAGTTTCAATTCTCAAGACATTTTGTTGGCTAACAATACTTTCTTTTCTGAGATTTCAGAAATATCTGGTATCAACAGGATAGCACCTGCAACGTTCGGATTTGAATATTCTGGCACGGATATCAAAGGTAATCGAGTAATGGGTATAACTTGTGGCAATGCTTTGTCAACGTTTGTCAAATCTAACCCGATATGGACTTGGACTATGCCGCAATCTTGGAGTTTTGAAGATGGAGCAACTGTTCCTCTCTCATATATTATTGCTTATGCGGCTCTTTTCGTCAAAGCAGAAATAGAAGAAGGGGAAAAAGTTTTACTTCATAACATTTCTGATGGACCTGGCTTGGCAATGTTAAATTTAGCTTTACGCAAAAAGTGTGACGTATATGCAACTTATCAAACGGAACAGGAAAGAAAATTGATAAAACTCACTTCCAATTTGCCAGATAATCGTTTATTTAATGCATCGAAAGAAAGCTTTACGGATGACGTAATCTCAAGTAATGGAGGACAAGGTGTAGACGTTGCTATTTGCAATCAATGTGGAGCTAAAAAAGCAGAATTATTGTTTGCTGCATGCAAACGTAAAGCTCGAGTTGTGCTTCTTGGTGATATGAATGATAACCGATTCCATGAAAGTATAGGAATGGAGATTTTCCTGCGGGAAATGAACTTTTTCTCTGTTGTACCAAAGCAAATACTTATATCCAACTGTAATGCCAAGCGTACTTTGGCTAACATGTTACTAGATGGTATAAAAAATGGTAGCGTTAAACCTTTAGCTCGAAATGTTTATGAAAATAAAGCACTGAATGAAGCTTTCCACGCTTGTTTATTGAAGTCCAACCTTGGAAAGGTGAGTCTTTTTCATTATTTACCACTTTTTTGACTATTTGCTTTTGATGTAATTTCTTTTATGAAATTCATTTAATTAATGTATTACTTTTAGTAGTGAAACATGGGATATTACATCATACGTTTTGAACACGTGTCCTGACTATTCAATTCCGATAATTTATTATAATCTAACTTTCATTCGATAGCTATTTGATTTTTTTACAATATAACTCTAAATATTATTTTTCAGATTGTTGTAAAAGTGTCTGCAGACAAAAATGAAAATGGTCATGTAATGGCTTTGCAACGTTTATACTGCTCAAGCTCAAAAACTTATGTAATCATTGAAGGCTTGGGCGCATTTTGTTTGGAATTTATTGACTGGCTGATAACGCGAGGTGCCAAACGTATAGTTTTAGTTTCACATTCGGAGGTTAAGGGTGGATATGCGAATTTGCGTTTAAGTTTATGGCAGAAGTACGGAGTGCAAGTCGTTTTGCGAACGAAAGTTGATATTTCTCAATCACAAAATATTAAGACAATCCTCAAAGAAGTTTCGTTAATGGGACCCATAGATGCTATATTTGATTTACAACGAATGGCTTCGACGACAGGAAAATCAAATGCTGTTGACTCAACGACTAAAGCTTTGGATCAAGAATCAAGATCATTAAGCCTCGATCTGCGTCTATTCGCAGTCTTTTCAGCTGTAGAAAATGCTACAGCTTTGCCGTCAAAATTGAAATTCAACAAATCTTACGGTATCGATGACATACAAGAACGACCAGTGAAAGACCTATTAGAAAAGAGAAAGAAAGATGGCCTGCACAGTATATTGATAAGATGGGGGCTTAAAAGTGATAATTCAGCTTCGAAGCCACCAATTAAACAATATTTACAGAAGCTCGACGACGTCCTAACGATAAAAGAAACTGTAGTCGAAATATCTTATGCTTTACCAGTCACGGATGAGGTAAGAAATAGTTACATGAAAAATACGTTCTGAATAATTTAGTATACTAGTATAAAGTTTTATTTTTGAAACTTACAACGAAAAAAACCTATTCTTTGATGTGTTCTTAAAATCATTTTTATTTCAGATTGAAAAAGATACAGTTGAACTACAAAAGAATCAGTTGGATTCTGAAAAACAAGAAAGAGACGCTTTCGTAACAAAACTTAATACACCAATCATAGAGGATATATTCATTCTTGACATCTAAATATTATTCGGAATACGTGTAATTTACATCACACATATGTTATTTATTGATTATAGTTGAAAAATAGATAGTAAATTGAAAATTGACTTGGTATTTTTAGAGATTTTCTAGGATATACTGTTACGGTATTTTACATTACTAGAAATAAAACTAATTGAAATAATTAAAGTTTTCTTTGAATTGAGTTGTCAGTCAATATTTCGTTAAAGTAAGATTGAAAGTGAAAAATAATAAAATTCAGTTGATTATTTCTTAATTGGAAGTTCTCGTGAGAAGTAGTTTGAACTGCTCTAGGAAGTCCTTTTTCAAAGAAATACGTTGAGACTTCCAAGAATTTTCAGTCGAGTCAGCGCCGGCTGTACCGTGATTTTGGCGCCTAGCCTGACTAATAATCCACCTACACCATCAAATATTACAAATCTTCATTTAGGTAATTAAAATCGTATCGTTATTTTATACAACGTGACTTTTTCAATTCAACTAGTGTATTAAATTAAACTTTATACATTCTTATTCAAATTAGAAAAAGAAAATAATTACGAAGTTGTTGATGGTATGCTGAAAATAGAAAAGATGTTTTTTAAAAAGCTTAAAATAAACAAATGAAAAAATAAAACTTCACCTAAAGACTGTATAGCAGAAGAAAGAGCATCCCAAAACGATCAATGGATAGTCCATTAAGCTATAATTCACCGAATTTTTCTCTGTGGCACTCAGCTCGGTTATTCGGCTCGTTCTAATGGATTTCGGCCACCCCACTTTGGGCACACCTTAATGGAAAGAAATGGTTATATAGTCTGCAGAAACTATCAAAGATGACCGAAAACACGAAATTATATGCTTCACTTCAGCAAACATACGGGATAGTTTTTTACTGGTATAATATATGAGATTGACTTAAATAATTCGTACTTTAATTTATTGTCTTGGAATCAGGTCTTCGTTATATTTGAATAGCACCGTAATCGTAGAAAAATTTAAAAAAAGGTAAAAATAAGTACTTTATCTGCATTTCTTTTGGCTATATGCAATGAGAATTATATGATCTGACTTTTAATAATTCATATTGTATTTTAACTTATTTGTGGCAATAAATTTAAATCATAAATATTCTGTTATGTATTGCCAAGAATCTTGCTCAATATATTAATTAAATCAACTTTATACAATCCTAGAATGATATTTATACAATTTGATGATTTTCGGCTGAAATTATTTGGCTAATACTTGACTCCCTCAATTATTGAAGAAATAATAGAATAATTCCCTGCAAAACAAATGAAAACGAGCTATTGTTTATTTTCTTCGTACACGCTTTTTATTAATTTTCTTTTCTGGTTGCGTAATTCTTGCACAATATCATATAAAAAATAAATCTTACTTATCATTACATACTTGATAAAATCATTTTAATAAACACTATGTCATATATTATGGTTGATGATTAATATATATTTAGGAATTGACACCAATCGATAGCTCGTTTTAAAGAATAATATTCCATAACTTGTGTAGTCTATTATTAACCTTATACCGTTAGTATTTGAAAGGTTAAGTTTTGAAGAATTCATTATGGAAATTATTTGGAATCAATTTTCAATGAAAATAAAATGCATTATTAATTGAGCAATCAAATCAATTCAGCAATGCTTTTTTATAGCGTAAAAATACGTAAGTAATTATGTTTATAGCTGCTATTGTATGCTATTGTGAAAGTAAAATTGATAATACGAATAAGTTGCAGGGTAAAACCCGTTTGAGCATATAGAGTGCTTAAGTGGTGTATGCAAGAGCGGCGAGAGTCTGAAGAAAAATATGTAGCGTAGAGGGGGGGGGGGGACGTATACAGTGCGGTTGCAGTTATCAGAGAGCGGTAGCCCCAGCCGCGTCTGTTATTCTGCATAAACTTTGCGTCGCTCGATAAAGTCTAGCCGGTGTAAATATTCGTAGCTTAATGAACGAGCAATTAAGCATCGGCTTTCGATTAAGTGCGCGTGCATTGGCTCTGCCGCACCGTAAAAGGTGCACTCGCATTTCATACCCACCATTACGAGAGAAAGAAGACCTATCTCGATAAATGTACTTATATATTCAGCATATACAATGCCTTATTCATTCGTACGAAACAAAAGAAGTCAAAAAATTTCACCTATCATTGAAATTGAACGTTTATGAACCTTGTTATTATTTAACACAGAAACTACGTAGTCAATACTTTTATTTTGAGATTAGAGATTAAAGCTATAAGAGTTGAATTTATTTATGAAGAACACGATTGCACTTGGCGGTAAAAAATGCTATTATTTAATATAATAATCATAATATAACTAATAATTTATTCATGATAATTCGATACATTTGAGAAATAGGAAGAATCGAGGAAAGTTTTTTTTCCATTAACTGGTTTAGATTGAGGTATCTTTTTCTTATAACGTCATCCACCTCATAATGCCACTTGCTCATAAATACAAATTCACACATACTACGGCGGGTATGGTGCAATAACATTATCCTTGTCTATTAAATAATAAAAGTTCCTATGACTTGAATTGCCTCTGAATGTGGAATTTCTTTTACAGGAATTATTTAATGCTCTAGATGCGCATATATTTTAAGTCTCCGAATCTTTCGTTGACGAATACTTCCGATTAAAACTGGCGTAATATATCTAAATATAAAATTGTGACGTACCATTCGATTCGTGATGCTTTGCTCTTTCACAAGCTCTAGTCGGAAGTTTTTTTCAGCGCGTAAATAAGCCAAATACCATCCAATCATTATTTTTATTCAATATAGAGTAAAGTTAAAAGCGTGATGTTAAAAGTGGTATATAATAAAATATCTCTAAATTTATCACCTTTAGTTTCAAGTGTTTGTGGTCTACTGAGAAACATGATCGACTTGTAAAATGAAAAAAGCAGGGAATGAAACGCTTACAAATATCGGATTCATAATATATATTGGTAACATAGTTTTTGAAATTAAAATAATATTGATGGCGTTATAAGATAGACTTAAAAAGGTGGAAGTATAATAACAATCATTTATTTAAGATGTCTATTTGACAACACTTTAACAGCAATTGGTAAAACTGAGTATTTTTAACGCAAGTCAAGTTTGTTCAATTTACTATAGATTATCTTTTTATGGAAGTAAAATCAAATTTATATGTTCAGTTATCGCCTTATGAATAAATGTAGAATAATTTTCAATATCTGGATTTTCTACAAAAAGGTACATTTGCTTAATATACATACCCCACTTCCTAATATACTCCTTGTTGGTATTTCGAATTAAAGTGTGCTACTGCTATGACACCTCGTGGCAATCATTTAGTACGATTAACTAATGAATGTATCACAATTTTGAAGGCTGCAAAATGTTGATTCCAATTTTTGAGGGTCTCCTGTGCTTAAGCCAAGCAACTTTTTCATTTTTTTCAATACGTTGTAGGTGAGTATGTGGAATTTAAGCTATCTTATTACTTAATAAAATTTTCTATATACTATTTGACTTGTTGTTTACTATTACTATTTCTACGCAATTCGTTCCAATATGGCTGCTTGTATAAACAATGCATGAACAATTGATAAAAATTACGATTATGTCTCTATTTAGTTTGGAATTTATGAACGCAAGCAGAGCAAAATGGAGACGAAAATTTGATCTGTGCAATAAAAGTCGTAGAATGAGGGATTTTATTTGCCCTGACTGCGTGTACGCAGTTTTAGTGCTATATTTATATTCTTATGAACAATTATATTGCTCAGGATCAGTTATTGTTGCTATTATAATTCGCAGTTTACGCTTGCTTTGGTTTCAATGAGCATATGATTTTCGTTTGGCTTTAAATGTTTTTAAAATAATATTTAGTATAATAAAGAGCCGCAGTATATGTAAAATTAATATCGCGACTCTCGTTTGGAACCCACCTTGAGATGTAGTCCAGTAACTAGGGGATAGAGGATTATCGCCTTCTAGTTATCTATTGGAGGATTTACGCCAGGAACTAAGTAGATGTGAATAATGACTACATTGAAACACGGTAGCCCGATGCATCTTAATGGTTCAAATAAGAATATAAAGAACAAAAATGGAATATTACAAAAAAGACGGAACAAGCATCCCATGCTACGAGGGCGAGTGAGGTGATCTAAAAGCCCGAGAAGGGTCTAGAAATAACAGAGAAACAAACAGAATAGAATACATAATAAAAGAAGATGTATTATAGCGAACTGAGATCTTTTGGCGACATTGGAAAAAGTGTTCGACAATCAAAAATAGTACCAAAAATAGATTTAAAAAACCCACAATGTATAGAATTCTAAAATATTAATATTTTATTTGCATATTGGGATTTTTCAATTTATTCCCCGAAATCACATTACTTTTAAAATTTTGAAAAATATAAATACATTTAAATAAAAAATAAGTTCTATAAAGCTCAATATATGCGTGAAAAAAAACTTCATTAGATTAGTCTACGCTTCACGGTACTTGTTTTTAAACAAAATAAGCTACTACAATAATAAAATTTCACAATAGAACAACGATACTCGGGAAAGATAACAGACATTAAAAGACACAGAAAAAAATTAACATTTCAAATCAAATTCCACTTTTATATTGTTTGTTACGCGGTAGACATGATTTGTACTACCTATTTATGAAGGATTAATGCAGGAGCTGATAGTTTATCTTTTTAATTATGCTAGAAAGAGAGTTGATATCTAGTGCGCTTCGCACGCTCATTTTTTTTCGTCTTTTTTCGCATTCACTTTAATGCACGAATAGAAATTACAACTTTTATTGACGAATTTTAAAATTAAAAAGTTCAGTGTGCATTAAATAATCTGATAATTCAATATGAGATATAACTGACGATATTATTTATTGGTAAATAAATTTATAATTGCGTCGATGCTCGTCATTTAAAAATGTTATCAATGAAGTTTTACGTTTTTATTATCTGGAAATCTGTATTGCAAAATCACCATATAATTTCAAAAACACGATATAAAATATAATATAAGTTTTAAAAACATTATTGTTTTATAATCGTATCTTTGCGATCGGTAGACGTTCAAATTTGTAATTAGTGCATTTCCAAAAAAATGTTCTAATATTTTACGTAATTGAATAAAGCTGAAATCACTGTGCAATATTTTATAGTGATAATCTATCGATTTATATGTTTGATTGCCTACTCTGTTTATTGGAAGCTACACTTTCGAATAGAGCAAAGTTGAACTAATTTTCCTATCGAGATATCAGTTGGTATTTATTTTGAGGTTAGTATTAAATTCATGCTAAATATACTGATCTACTTTTGGTCTGTTTAATAATCCACGAAAATCTGTAGTAATCTTTCATGAGCGTACACAACATGTGTACTATCACATAAAAGCTGATCACGTGACTATCTTTCAGCTAATCAGATCACGAATAAACTGCTTTCACTTTCCAGACTATCACTTTTTAAGAAAGGAGTGACTATTGATTTTCGAGATTTGCTGTAGTTAACCAGTTAGAATTTTTGACTATTGTTTTAAACGAAACTAAAAGAAGTTGACAATAAAATATGAACAAACAAAACTATTCTAGTCTAAAAAAAGAATTAGAGTATATTCATGTTTATTGAAATCAAAACCTTTGTTCATTCATATATCGTTTTATTACAGTTAACTTCATATAGTACACTAACCAATTCGCTAAAACAGTATTGTAATAATGTAACATATTCATTGAATATTTTGTACTCAAGCAGTTCTGTATTGATTCATGCTGCATTTTTATCGACAAACATTAAAAAAAAAGTAACCAAATAAACTCAAAGTATAAAATCAATAACAAAGAAGAAGTGAACTCCCATTTTGTATTTCACAACTTTGATAACTCGATTTATTTATATCATTATTTATGATGTAAGTCATTTTATAAAATTTCTTTTCTGTAAATAAAATTATTTCGAGCTACCGAGTGTAAACCAGATAGGCAGCATTAAAATGTATTGATGATGAATTTTGCTATAATCCTAATTGGATCTATTACAATTGGCTCATTTCTTTTCTATATATACGTATAGGAATATAAAGATCTGTGCCGATATGAGTAGATTTTCATTCTGAATATCTAAAATAATGTATTCATTCTTTAAGTCCTCTCCCATGTGTCTCTCAAATGGTTATTTAGTGGGTAAAATATGTTTCTCGAGTGTCCGAAGAAAAGCGTTTTCTGACAATGCAGATGAATTTTCACGAAGACTCTTATAGCAGAGTATGAGAAATATGGGATTTTGAGGGGAAATAAAAATGTAAGCGTTGCGGACAAAATGATCGATTAGACGAGACAACAAAGGTTTGAGCGCGTGTGCGCTCCTCATTAATCCCGTGAATTCCGCGACTTGACTCTCGCATACTACTCGCGGCAGCATTTTTCTTCCTTATCCATCGAACTGCGCTCAACAATGCGATCTCCTCTTTGGACTGGTTAATGTAGTATATATATCGGGCTACGCAGTGCGAGAGGAAAAAAAAACGGAACTGGCGTGTGATGATAATTGGCGTGTGTAGCCGTGGGCGGGCCAATGAGCGCGAAGGGGCGTGTCCGCGAGGAGGCAGGCACGCCCGCTCGACTGCGAACGCCAGAACGAAGGTGTGAACGCCCTCGACGACTTACCTGACTGGTATAGCTCGAGTGGCCTGCAGGATCGATGGAAAAAGTCGCTCTCTGTCGTTCTCTCGGCCGGGCAGCAACAGCTCTCCTTCCCTCCGCCCCTCGCTGCGCAGCGCTGCTCTCCCTCTTTGCAGGCCTCCTCCTTCTCCGTGCGGCGCGAGTGCGAGCACGCGAGAGAGAGCGAGTGAGAGCGAGAAAGAGAGAGAGAGAGAGAGAGAGGTAGGTGTTCAGGACAGTTGGAGCGGCGCAGTCAGCGACTGCAGCACGATTGCCGAAGATCCTGCTTGTGCGTTCCTAACCTCTCGCGGGACGCGCCACTGATTTCGCTTATCTCAAAGGCGGCTTCTCTCTCTCTCTCTCTCTCTTTAGTTTCTCAGTCTCTCCTCCTTCGCGAGCTCTTCTTCTTTTTTTATTGTCTCTCTGATCTTTGCCCGATGCTAATACGAGCTGGACTGCAGCAGTGCCCTCGATGGACTATATCCTTCAGCTGTTTACGTGCTTCTTATGCCTTACGTCAATCAATGGATTTTGTGTGCTACAGTTTGTGATCATTGTGTTAAACGTGTGTTAGTGTTTCTTTACCCATAGTATTTTATTATTTATTACGCGTACGCTCATCCAATGCTGCCCGATAACACGCTATTGTAAACACAACTGTCAGTTCGAGGCTTGTCAGCATTCACATGTGTCACTGCGCAAAAGCAGCGGAACCAAATATTCGAAAATTGCTTTTTCTTCTTGCCGTCAATCAAGGATCAAACTGATACACAGTATACACAATAATCAGTCGTATTTTGTGTTGCACACCGGCAGGATTCGGCAAGCTCTATTATGACGCCAGTGCAACGATTGTTCAAAGGCTGACTAACGTAGTGCAAGACTTATTTGGACCACTGCTCGCCATTTTAACCGGAGCACAAAGCATACTGAGCCAACGTTGATTATGCGTGAGTATTACATTGTATAAGTGTCTCCGCGTGCGCATACGTATCTATGACATTATGCACGTGCGCCGACGCCGCTTGCAGGCGCGACGCACGTTCTAGCGCGGCGTACACGCCAAGCACCTCCTCTTCCATTTACACCTTGACAACTCGAAATCACATACTGACGATAACTTTGATGAAATCGGTTCTTTTTCCCCGTACTATAATACCCTTACGGTCTGTATTGCTATTTCAGAGCGTAGCTATATATCTCGTTTATCAAGTTATTATTCTTTTGCTTTTCTATGAAATCCTATACCACAGCCTCAGTTGTAAATCGATTTGCCACTCATAGCAGAAAGCGCTGTATTAACTTAATTGCAAGATTTTAAATTGAAAATTTTCTTATTTGTAGACAACTGTTTTCACTTACAATTAGAGGCCTTTAACGATGGAGAAGCGTTAAAAGGAATTTTTTAAAAATTAACCGAGGATGCTAAAAGAGCCGTTGACGGGTTATTTATGAAATCCCATAATGAGGATGATTCCGTACTTCTCGCGTTTGCTATTAAAATTTATTTGGTCTCATAAGCGTTATTACAGGAAACCGACCAGCTCCTGACTAGTCGGCTCGGAAAGTCAAAGTTAAAGTGAAAGACTATATGACGCGAGATGAGCCATTAACATTATTTCTATAAAGAAATTCTTTTTGCCATTTTGTACATTCTGCCATTATAGTTGTCTTTGAGAATGAAAAGAGCTAATATATCGATGGAATGTGAAAGATGTTGGATGGGATGTTGCTTTTAACGAAATTCGAAAAATTCCATTCCATGAGTGGTGGAAAGAATGAATATCGGAGGTATGCATTTTGCAGCTACTTTATGAAAATGAGGCTGCTTTGCGAGTATATCAAAGTAGGCTACTTATGTTTTCGCGAATAATGAATTCGCCGTGGCGCGGCGGCGGCGGCGATTGCTTATTCATCGAATAACTTTCGCAAGATTAGCAAAGTCCCTATTGAAATGGAGCTGCTCCAATTTGAATCTACGGGAAACGCGCGTGTGCGCGCGTGCGCCGGCTGGGCCGCCGCAGGGCTTTGCGCAATTATTATTCTCGCATATTTATGCAAAGAAAAAATAATCGATAGACTGCAGGGGCTTTTAAATCACTTCGCCATGCGAAAAAAAATTGCTCAACTGATTGATTTATTGGAGCGGTAATCGTCTAATAAATATAACGAGAGCTTTCACGATGGCAAGCCGCGCTGCATGAGAGAGTATCACGTCGGCCGAGAGTGTAGCACCGGCGGCGCAATATTAAGGTAAAATCGCCGCCTCTTGTCAGCGATAAATCTGCAAGCTGAGGATAGTCCCATAGCGTTCAACTTACGTACCACAATACGTGAAAATTCTTCTATACCGAGGAGCTTTTATGATGGGCTCTTTTATGAGCCGCACAATAGTTTGTACTGATAATCGACAAGGGAATTATGCATGGTTTTCTATCGAGCAGATATTATGTTGATACTGAATGACGTCGTCATCGGCTCAAATCGAAGGATTTTTACTTGTCATCGTATTTTTAACCAGTCAAACCAGTAATTTTAACAAACATTGACGCTTGTGTAGATTCGCGCTTATACAATAAACGAATAAAATATTAAAAAGTTAGAATTAGATATTACCATGCCCTCGGCACCCTCGACGCTTGTATCAAACATACGAAGTTCATTATTTCTGGGATCAATGACCATCTCATTTTTGTACGCTCGATTTTCGCAAAAAGAAAAATATGGAAACACCCGTGTGAACTAACTGTCAAATTTATTATCTTTGTTTTGTTTTCCTTTGCCAATCGATTTACTAATCAACAAAACAAACATTTTCATTATCAGTGAGATGTTTACGAAGTGCACGAATCTACGAATCGTATGTACTATCTCATCTAAGCTTTGATTTTGATCTTTGATAATTACGTTATTTAAACGTGTAATCTGACAAAACATGTGGAACGTTAAAATAATAAAAGTCCGTCGGAACTGTTGCGTTCAGTATATTTAGGTGTATCTTTACGATTATTCTCTGATACTAACACATACGGGCGAAAGGAAATAACTGGCTTGAAAGACAGGGCTAATCAGTGTGCAATTATATATCGAATAATTAATTGTCAAATTTTAATAATCTGCAATGTGCAAAGCCCAGTTTTTCCAAAGCGGAATTAATCTTGTCTATCGATTGACTGTCACGGTATATTTTTCCAATTACTGTATGACAATAAAATGCAACACAATGATTTGCTATAATTATTTTTGAATTCAACTATTGTAACTTTTGATGCAGAACGCGTTGATTAACGTATCAGGTTAGCTTACAAAAGTGTCTTTAAAACGAGGCGTTGCACAATTGATTTAAGGATATCTAGACCAAGCACTAGAATACACCGAAGTAACCCTTCTTTCTCCGTGTATGCGAGCACACAGTACCTCAAATCAAATTGTTCAGACAGGAGCATTTTCGTGTATCTCAATCATGCGTGCGACATGTAAAGCACTTACAACATTAATATTTCTCAAATTTTTAGTAGTACCAGCTAATTAGTACTAGACACCAATGTCAAAGTTATGTATAAAATTGATTCTCAAAAACAAAATACTGATATTTTTGTTTTGATAACTGAAATAAATAAATTGGCTTTAGTCAACTATCGAGATTTCTCTTTGATTAGACATATAAATTCAAAACTGGAGCATAAAAAAACATCATTGCAATGTTTGTTTGTAATTCATTATTACGATGAAAGTCATTGGGGTAGACTTTTGATTATTTGCACGCCAATTGATTTCTAGTGAATGCTTTTGATAGAGTAAAAGACGGCGAATCGGATGGTGCATTGGAACTGTCACCGTTCGCTAACACGAACGTAACACCACAGTGCTGTGCCACCGTAGCACGTGTAAGTTCAAAATCTGAAGACAAGGAACAGGCACATCGGAAAACCTCATCGAGCAACGGGTATTGTAGTATAACATAAGTCACTCCGATTGTAGCTCGATCTGCGCATACGCCGCAAGAGTTTCTTTCATTTCTACAAAATCAAAGAAACTATTTCCATGAAATGTATAGCTTCGCTCCGCATAAATAAAATAACAATGGCGGATAAGAAAAGTAAAATAAACGCAGCTGTCTGAGACGAGAAGAGTGAGCGAGCGTGCGAATGAGCCGCGGCAAGTGTATAGTACTCGTAGAGACACGAAGCGCGCTATGAGCGATAAATCTTCGATAAGTCGGTCGACGTGGGAAATGCTAGCTCGGCCGAAAGTGCATTAAGGTCTGAGTTGTTTTTGCTTGGGGTGGAAAGTTTTTTTTTTTTTTTTTTTTTTTTTCGAGCGCCTTGATAAACATCGCGAGCGCGGCACGTCATGCACATCCGAGTAACGACCTGGCCGCACGCGAAGACACGCGGACTGACGAAAGCTTCGCACCGTTGCCGCGACGTGTTCATTGCGATACTTGCCCACATCAGTCGCTTGGCTTTCACATGATCAAATCATTGCCCGCTGCCTTCCAGAGCTGCTTGCTTTTTATTCCAACACTGTCGCTTAATACAGGCACAGCTCGAAATATAATTTTCACTGAGCGTCTTTTCTACACAATTCCAGTAAAATTTCATTTTAAAAAGAGCACGCTTGTTTCAGTAGCAGCTGTTCACTAAAATCGGATGAGTTCCATATTAAAAACTTTTTTTCACAAAAAAAAACAACTATACTTTCTGTCAATACATCTACTGTTAGTTGTCATTTGCGCTGATACTAAGCGTTATTAATTCATCAAGAACAAATTTTTAGAACCGCCACTTGGGCACCTGGCATGAAAGTTATACAATTAATATATAATTATAAATTCTCTACGATTACATTTGCAGGAGTTTATATACGTATGATTTATTACATAATTGTTATTGATATTGTAATCTTTAGACTTAGAAAATAATCCGCTTGACAAATCAATATTGACGGAAAAGAATTTTTACTTCGAATAGTGGGACGTCATCTTGTAGCAAGTCGAATCTTGTTGCGATAAAGAAAACTTGTTGCAAGAATTTTGGCTCAAAGAACAATGTTCCTGCGACACGATGAAATATTGCTTCTTCAATGAATATAATATAATGTAAAATATTAAGTTCATCGCGGTTTTCTTTTTCAGATAAAAGTTATAAACAGCCAAATGCTAACTTTAGAAAAAACGATTTTTATTGCAGAAAAAGGCTAGGCAAGTTCATCTCCTAACGACGTTAAAAAACCCTTATTTATTAATTCTGGATTTCATTGTCTGTTATTATATGTAACACGCAATATGATTTTAACAATTTTGAAAATTTCGGGATCAACGCGGGCACCGTCATATCGTTTCTCGTTGTTTTGTTCCTTTTTTTGCGGTAGAGTACTTCGTTGTACATACGCAGCGTCGTTATCTAAACAGCCGTTTCCCGCACTGAAAAGTTCAGCGCAGATAAGCGTTCCTCGCTAGATTCTGATTATTTGTGCGTAAATGGAACCCCCATGTCTGTGAATTAGTGCGACGCCAAGTTCCACGTTCACGACTAAACGAGTTTCGTTCTGAAAACGCTTAAAATCATAATATGTTTTGTGACTAGATGAGTTGGACTTTATGAGTTTAAATAATGTGAAAATCCATAGCAAGCGAGGCATTTTCGACTCGGCATTTTCTGAATGTTTGATGTAATATTCTGAAAACTTTTATTTTCTAACAAACAGTAAACAGATGTATATGTGAAAAAAAGTTAGTTTACTCGATAAAAATAATATTAAGTATATGAATATGATTTAACATTTGTTTTATAAACATGCAGTCAAGTATAAAAAGATGATGACAAATATCTGTGAATTCTAGTGAAGTTACGATGATGAGTAAATTATTCCGTTGGTATGTGCGGTACCATAATTTTCATGAAATAACGTTTATTAACTCTTCATTTGGCTGACGAGCTACTGGTATTTTATAATTGATTAAATACATTTGAGTTATTCAATTGATTTTGGCGAAATTTATTGGTAATACCATGTTAGGTACTAGAATATAAAAGCGTGAATACGAAACTCATCAGCAATGTTGTTCTTCAGCTGTTAGCTATATATTCTTATCGTATTACGCATAAATTTACATTTGTCGGTAGAAAATTCACTTCATTCTATTAATTTGGTTGGGTTATTCTTTGAAGTCAAGTACAAATTACAAATTTATTCGAAATTTTACTTTTAAATTTTCTTTAAAAAACACCTTGATGTTGTAGGTCTTCATCATTCTTTAAATCTATTATAGAACCTAGGTTGCTAGAAAAAACTTCAACATATGGTAATGACAGTAACGTTATTACACCAATGCTGATGGATGTATCAGATAAAATTAATTGGTCAATTGATAGATATCGAATAAGCTTGGGAATTGGTTATTGAAACGATACAGGAAAATAGGTTTTTCAAGTTCAAAGAACACATGTATAAATTGATTTGATTCGATGATTTGAGAAAAGTTTTTGCCAGGAGGATCTTCAAGGGATGGATAAAAGACAGGATGGTGAAAAGTCGTTCGTGGGAACAATGTACAAAGGTTCGCGCCATTGATTGTGGATAGAGTCTCGGAAAATAGTTCTCATTGATATAACAAACGTGTCGCGTGGAGAGATAGCGCGGGACAAGCGAAACAATACCAATTGCTCGTAAAACAACGAGCATGAACGCTCCAAACTGCATAGACAATAGTCTGCGCCGCGCGTAAGTATTCATATCATGACCGAGGCTCTGACTCTTCGGCGATATCAGCCGGTCGCTTATCGCCGACTACTCGCTGTTCCGCTCGAGCCGTCGGCATTCGAACGCGCGTGCTAAGCTATGCGACATGTGTCGAGCCCGCTTTATATACTTACAGCGAACCCTACGTGTACGCTAATATGCGAGCTGCAAACCCCACATCGATGTTCCTCAAAGTGCTTTTTTATTATTAATTTTCCCCTACGTATATTTTTCCGTCAATTCGTTTTAACGTTCATAGCTTATTGGATCGAAAAAGAACTTGAAGACAAAGGCTTCGAGAAAGATTGTCTGCACAATTAAAAATGCTGTGTATACGTTCCGGATCCGTGAAGCAAAGTATGCTAAAGTGTGTAAGTAAATTCGTTTAAGGAACACGAAATAGATAAAAACAGGTGACAAGGGATGCTTCCATGCTTTTAAGCGGAAATGAAGTAATCGCTCTAAAATGAGCTGATAACTTATCGCTTGGGCGCTGATAAAACAGCCGCTAGTTTTTTTCTTCTCTTGTGCCTTGAAAACTTCACACAGTCAAGCTCATTCGTTGACCGACTTTCCCGCAAACACAAATAAATATCGCGCAGTGTAACATAGCAATGCTTTTCATCAATCCTGCTGCTAAATGACAACAGCATAATTTTCTCCGAAACACCGATTACCAATGATTATTCGACACTCCTTGCGCGGGCCCTCAACTTGAATAAATCGAGCCGGCGTCAAATCTCATTCCGCGCACATGCGACAAAATAATTTTAGTCTCGTGGTTGAAATTATTTTCTCGCGCGTCTTATCGAAACGTTCTATATATCAACGCTTAATGACCACACAATTTTTATAATGTGACAAACAGCCAACGCGGGAGAGAAATAATTTCGTTCTTTGTATTGTGTGTCGCGCGACAGCATCGCGTTGGTTCTCAAGTAGCAAGTTACTAAACTTAAGTAAGGGTAGTGTCAATATAAAAAGATCCAATAAGTTGTATTGAAAATGACTAAGAACCAAAAAATCGATTTTGATTTTAAAAGTGATATTTGTCAAATGAAGAAAAAATATCTAGAGTTAAAATTTCTAAATTGAAGAAAAGCGAGTAAAGTAGAGAGCAAATCAAAGAATTTGTCGTTGCGTGTGGCGTGTAGCCGGTATGAGGGCATGCATAGAAGCGACTGGAAAAAAATGTGAAGCGCACGGTAAAATGAAAAAAAGAGAGTTGAAGCAGATACGGGAGTTTGATGTTGGAAAGAGGTAGATCGAGAGAGCAGGAGGGATACGAGGAAAGCCTGTTGACGTCGGCAGAGCGGTGCATGGCATCAGAGACAGAGAACGAGAGAAAAGAGACACAGCACGGCGAAGGGAGGCGATCTCTGGCAGGCGCGCGGGTTTTTAGGCCTAATTAGTTGTCGCCAGGCGTCTTGTCTCTCCAGCCCAAAGAGGCCGACTCCATTTCACGGGCTTATACGGCTGAGCACCTTGCCCTCTCCCCTTCTGGCTCCTTCTCCATTTCACGATGTCGCGCTCTCGCTCCATACCATCTCCCTGCGCCTCTCTACTCCTCTTCTTCTCCTTTTCCTTCCTTTTTATCGGATTTCTTCATGTTGCCTCTCTTTATTTCGACTCGCAGCCGACGCTCTTTTTCAATTCTGATTGCTCAATCCCACTCAGTTTCTATCACAATCGCATCTTTCACCGGTTCTTTCACTTTCGCTCTTCTATTCTGCTCAATTTCCAAGTGTCCGTAGATCCGTCGAATGCGTACCTGGGCTTTCCATAATACCGAGATTACATTGCTCAACCCTTAAGATAGAAACATAAACACTATAGAGCTATTTATCCAACGTTTCGCTCAACTTGTTTGTCAACCTCTTTCAATCATTACTAATAGTGCAGACTAGAAAGTAGAACGAGCTATTCTCATTTCCGTGTATGACGATCAGACATAGTTTCATTTTTCGTGTATTTTCATGTTTCAGATAATTTCCGAGTTTCCTATTAAGGTGGGGCATTGCAATCATCGACAGACGATGGTGAGCATTTCAAGATTTCTATGTCTATTTATATATGTTTGGAAAATCATACATTGTGCCATTAGCTGTTTGTCCTACGACGATGTAATATTTTTCTTTGACGATTGTATCGCTGTAGAATAAAGCATCGTTGGTCGTAGTCAGACAATAAGGGGAATGTTTATCGAGCAAATTGAGTAATGTCAAGAAAAGGATGATCTCGAAAGATCAGGAACGAAAGAAGGTTTTACGGGGAGCTTACTTAGGAGCATTATACGCCTATTCGAGCGAGCAGTCGGAAAATTGTGGGAGAGCACTTAAGCTGGAGGGAGCAGTTACTGCTGGCGTCGCTAACGAGTTTTTAACGGAAGCGTTAACGATTCGGAATCCGTAACTCAGGTATGCTTCGGTTGCACCCCCAGAGTTCGCCCGTGGCCGTGCAGTCGGTTCCAAAATCGAAAACCTGTCCGTCTGGCGTACGCGCGCATCCTCGTGACCTTGCTCCATTCACGCTCGTGCGCAGAGTTCATTCACGAGAGCCCGGCTGACTCTCTCTTTCTCGAAATTACCAGGAATTCGGATGAGACTACAGCGAATTCCTACTACGAGCTAGCTCGTTCGGTTCTCCGTGTGCGCGTGTTTTTTTCTCCTCGCTCGGCGAGCCAGACCCATTGACGAAACGAGCTCAGAGACGAGGTCGTCGCCGGAACACGATCCCGGAAAGCGATCTTCCTGAGCGCCGCCGCCGCCGCCGCTGATCGGATCGCTAGATCTGAGCCGCCGAGATCTTCGGACGGATAGCCGCGAGGCACGGCTGGCACCTCCGCGCCGCCGGAGACGCTACATTACGGCTAACGAGCGAAGAGCCTGTCGGCGGGCACGGCCCGCGCGCGACTGCCCTCGCGGCATTTACAGTTAAATCGATTGGAAATTAGTCGCGAGCCAGCCGACCAGTCTGATTTGATTTTAATGTGCCTCTGCGCTGGACACTCGGGACACGCGCCGATCTTGCCGACTGGCCGACTGGACGTACGGGAAACGGGTCTTGGAGAGGCTCGCTGCCAGACGTAGGCGCAGATGCGTCGACGTGCCCTCGATAAGTAAACTCCTTTGCGGGTTTCAGACTGCGGTAAAATAGTTGGGTAATTTGTAGAAGGCTCGAGCGATGCAACCGACGGGCGAATGATTAGCAGGAGCGAGTGGAAGAGAATCCAAGTCGACGGGGCAACGGGGGCAACGGTGGCAACGAACGCCGATGTATCAAGGTCCGTCGAGAAGAGAGGAACGTGTCGCTTGTAATTTCGCCTCTGCCCGCGCGCCTCTCTCGCGCGCTCTTTCTTCAGCCTGTGTCTTTGACCAAGTGTTGCTCTGCGAGTGTGCTTCTCGTGGCTACGGCAAATTAATGTCCTTCATTTACAAACCAAAATAGGGAGGCGCGAGAGTCGAGAATACACAGACGCGCGCGCACTGCGAGTGTGGTCGTCGCGGTCGTCGGGCGCTCTCTCCCGCGCGCGCCATCATCATTGGCCGACTCGGGAAATAGCGATGAGGTGACGCGCGCGCGCGCGCATTATATTCGCGCGTTAGCTGCTATATATTATGTAGCTGTTGGTTTTCGTCGACAGTCCAATGCTCATCCGCGCACGCCGACTCTCCGTAGCTGCCTGCCCTGGCACTTTACTTGGTAGCTCTCTCGGGCCAAATTAATTGATGATAAATTATTTATTTATGAAGATATTAAGTCAACCGAGAGGACCGCAACAGCGCCTGGCGGGTGTTGATTGAAACCCGAGAATCCCGAAAGAAGGACCGAGCATTTGCGGCCGAGAGTGGACCGACTTTTTATGGCCCGCGCCAAAGCAGTTTCCACTTTATATATACCCGATACACGCAAACTGAGTAAAATTAGTCATGATGTGCCGTCAAGCGGGCTTCGTCCTTCTTCTAAGCAACGTGCTTTTCTCCGCATATCGATCCAATTCATTTGCTCGCTCTTTTTTCATCATTTTCAGTGCAGCAATCTATGAATCGTTGCGCGCACTGCGGCACTGCCACGCGCGTCAACTTTTACACATCGCTGCTCACTTCGCGGTTCATTGAATCCGTCGGACTTTATCAAATTATTTGCGTCTTTTTATTTCCTCGAAAAACGCTCAATTCACACGGACGCACTGAATATTTACATATATTCGCTTATGCGATCGTCCACAAATAAAAATTGGAAACGAGTGCAGGTGAGATTGTCGCGATTGTTTGCAAGGGCGTCGTCATTCGTACAGTTGGAAAGGTACAGGAAGCTAAGTGACTCGGCCAGCTATAGAGAGAGAGAGAGAGAGAGAGAGAGAGAGAGAGAGAGAGAGAGAGAGAGAGAGAGAGAGAGAGAGAGTCAGAGAGTCGTGTTCGGAGCGAAGGCCGCTATAGCAGTGTCGCCCACGCGATCGATGTTCGATGGCCATCCGATTGAGTTGCCCCGCGCCCGATAACGATCTCGATCTTTTCCTACCCTGTCTGCGCGCTAGCGAGCGACGAGAAAGAAGACCGAGAATCCACGCAGCTTAGAAAGGCGCAATCCGTTCTCGCCGCGCCGTCGAGAGAGAAAACATTCTTACGACTCGCGGATGTCTCACATTGAGTGTGTGCGTCCCCCTGAATTTTTTCAAATGTCACTATCGGTAATATAACGAGAGAGACAATTTTGCTGGGCGCGCAGAGCGAAAGAAAACTTTACTCGCGCCTCACTGGCTCCCATGACATGATCTTTAACTTTATGCCTGCACAACTCCGCGTCTTTACACGCCAGGCGTAATACGCGCCGGCTGCTTCAGCGCCTGGATAATCTCTCGGTTTTGCCGCACCCGGCTCCTTTCTCTCGTTTTTTTTCTTCTTGCCTTCTTGCTTGCTTTTTTCGGAGCTCTGCTTTCAACTCTCACGCAAGTCCACTCTCTAACAAAACTAATCCAGATCTCGACAATCACGTATTAATTATGAACGCTTCGTGAGCTCAACGGATTACCAAGATTGTTCTGAATTTACGTAATTTTACAGACAACGAGCATCCAACTATTTTATTGTATATATAATTAATACTTAATGTAACTTTAGTCACACGACGTAGTTTTCATATTGGCGTACTATAAAGCATCAAAATGAGAGAAAAAAGTGAGCAGTGGTACTATACGCCGACAGTTATTTCTGGAATCGTTTGGACTTGAAGTCAATACGGCACGGCGCGAAATGCCGCTACGTAAGAAGATCGAGGGTTAGACTAAGGAGTGTGTATGTAGGGGGGGGGGGATGGCAAAACTCTGGTAAGCGCTTAATCGTCCGTAGATTCATTGATCGGCGAGCACGCAAGCGAATTCCCGCACTACACGCCAACTTTCAGGAATTCACATAAGGCCGCGTGCCGCGAGATCTGCTTGAGTATTATTAAGAGGATGGGCTCGCTAGCTTTATTGATATCTCTTACGGGGCACTGTCACAAGAAGTACTTGGCCATCGATGGATGCGTAAACTACCATTTATCGGGTGGCCGAATATGAAGGATAATTGGATGGCGAGTAGTTGATTGCCCGAAGAAGCATCGGAATAAAAGTCTAGAGGGAGATTTGTAGTCTGACCGATAGCGGTCGTTTGTCAGAATAATTTCAATGGAGTTGACAGCTTTCATTGTCTACGTAATTGAGAGCGGGCGCAGAGCAAACTGAAAAATGTAGATTTTCCGTGGCCTATGGGCGCGGAGTCGTATAAAAGTGGGGTGTTGCGCACGATTGCGCTAACCTGCGTGCGTCCGCGCTTTTCCACCTATCAGTCGTCGTGCGTCGTTTGTGTGCCTTAGCTGTAAATCATTGCGAGCACTTTAGAGCCCATTTGTCCAGTAATGCACTCTCCCCTCTCCTCCCTCCCTCCCTCCCTCTCTCGCTCTCTCTCTCTCTCTCTCTCTCTCTGGACGACGACGGCGCCCGAGCGGCAGTAAATTATATCAACACCTTTCCGAGCTGAAGTGGCGCGGACTGAGATGCGCCCACGTACGCGACCGAGCGAGCGCGGATAAAGAGCACTCGCGGATAGAATGCTTACCTAGTTGATATATTGCTTTCTCTCTCTCTCTCTCTCTCCGCTCCACCAACTCTTTACGAAACCGACTTGTGTATTTGTGTCTGACTTTTTTTATCTGACCATGATTATACGCTGGAATTAAATCAGATGCAATGTTCTGTTACAGCCGATTATACCTCGAGATTTCAGCTTTTGACCAAGCTCATGATCGTTATTCAGCTCAATTAATTGTTATACGCGACAGATAATTCAGCTAAATAATACTCAAAATCATTCCGGCAACACTAATATATTGATCAATCGTTTTTTTTTCTTCCATCGGTAGAGAAGAACTTGCTTTGTGAATTTATGTACTCATTAGTAGCCATGTACACGGAGGACTTTCAAAAAAATGTTACTGCTTCGGATATAATCTTACGGTCCTGCTTTATGTTTTCTCAATGCTAATCAGCACGCATCTTCAAAATTAAATTATGTAACCAGAATGAAATTTGTATTATCAGTCGTTTTGTTGTACTATTCCGTGTTGCAGTTGGCTGATTTTTGCAAGTTCATTGCTGAACAAATTAATCGAAAGACAATCAACCTGCCGCCTTTTTCAACGCTTACTGGGGATGACATTAAAATCAAGTCAGTTGAAATCTCCACATTTGCAAACTAATGTATTTTAAGATCAAAAGGCTTCAGTATAGTTAAATATATTAAAAAATTCTCATCTATCATCTTGCAAATATGAGTTGTTTACGTAGATTTTCACGTCCAATGAAAATTCCGTTTCAAATAGCTCGTGTGATTTATATATAAATACACGAGTAAATGATTTTAACTGATATATTAGTGTACGTACGAAATTGCACGAGAAAAGCAGCTGTGATAAATTAATAAAACGCCGATAAAAAGTCAATCATAATTTTTAAAGCACTTAAGATTTTGAAAAATGTGTCGTAAAGAAGTTGCTACCG